TCAGATGCTGTACTTGTTAGTGCATGGACACTTTTATTTTCATAAGTGCACAATTAAAAGTCCCATTTCTTTGTATTTTGCCCCAGATATTTTTTTCTATTTCTGTAATATAATTGTTTCCAAATATTCAAATTCTGAAATATATTAGTAAGAAAGGAGTTCAGAGCTAAGTATAACACTTCCTGCTTTAAGCATGCTTAAAAATCACCTTCAGCATTCTGGAATTTTGCTGATTTTCACCAAAGAAGAATATAAAAATATGAGGCTTTTATTATATTCATAGTTCACTCTTTATTCATTGAAGCCAAATGGGGATGGCTGAAGCCTAATTTTGGTAAGTAAAATAAATCAAAAAGTAAAAGTTAGGCATTTATTTTTTTTCTTGTGAAATGTATCCCATTTTCCATTGTTTTCTGCACAATAAGACATTTCAAGTTAAAAAGCAACTTTCTCCGTGGCCATATAGCCTGTAAGAGTGGTTCTCTACTTTTTTTCCTGCAGAAATCCTTAGTGGTAATCCTTGGATAATGGTGAAACTTCAGACACCTCCCAAATACAATCCCTAGGATGCTTGCTCTAACCTTTACCCTGTTTGTTCTCTCAAGAGTCCATCCAATGCAACTGAATAAGATGGCTAACCTTGCACATACTCTGCTTGCATAGAAAAAAAGTAATCATTTCTCAGCCTCTCATAATGTAATTACTACTGGAGAATTACCATGATGCACAGGTAGATTGCAACCTCACAGGGGAGAAATTCCAGATTTTTTTAAAATAAGATTTTCCTGTGAATATTCAATTTTAAAAACTAGACAAATTTTAAATACTATACATTTTAATTTTAAAAACTAGACAATTTTAAAAACTAGACACATGTTAAATATGCCTGTACTTTTCAGACTTGTATTTTAAATTTAGCCAAAACAATTTTCCAAGCAAAGACTAAGAAAATATATTCAGTTGTTCTTCCCAGTATTCAAGAGTGTAACATTCATCTCATTGTCCTATTTCAGCTATGTCTACCATTTGCACAACTGTCTTTCAAAATTATGTGAATTTGACACCAATTATTTAGAAATCTGAAATGCTTGAATGGATTGCATTCTTAAGATTAATATTTTATAAGCTACTTTCATTTAAACCGAAAGCATAACTGATGTGCTTGCAACATTCACGATTGGAAACTACTGCATTGAAGTACTTGTGGCAAACTAACTGTGATTTCACTAAACACATGGGAAGGGAACTATAAAAAATAAAAAAAATTAAAAAATCCTGCTAAAAAATACAAAAGAATCTCCTAAGTAATGAAGCCATTTTTATTTTTTTATTTTTTTTTTTTGGTGGGACCCTCACCCGTGGCTGGGGATCAAACTGGCGCTGCAGAGGCTGCGGGCAGCCTCATAACCCAGCGCTCAACCGCTGCGCCACCAGGGGAGGCCCGTGAAGCCATTTTTAAAGAGACAAACTTACCTAAGGGAACTTGAGACCAATATTATTTCCTTCAGTGAGGACGGTTAAACCAAAGGACAGTCTAACAAACTAATTGCAAGTTTTGAAGAAAGGCATGTTAGAGTAAGGTGAATAAGCAAGTGCAATTTGCTGAACAAAGTTTACTAAATTGTACCCACCCACCCACCAACTCCTTTCCAGCCCCATGAGGAATTTTCTCCTTACATATTTTAAAAGCAGTTGTAACTTCTGGAGAAATTTACTAACCATAAGCTCTTAATCACGGTTATGTGATTAAGATTTCCACGAGTGTGGAAAAGTTTCTTGGGGAAAAAAATAGAGAAATGACTTCCTTGACAAGTGATATATCTGCTTCGATATCTTTGTTAGAACTAAAATTGAATAATTTATCACAAAATTAATTGGTATGTAAATTAATCAATTCACCCGTTTTCTGTTATAACCCAACGAGCAGTGGCAGGGGTTATGAAAAGTTCTGTTCATTGGGGTAGTGTGTGATAAGTTAGAGTTAGATTTTAAATGGAGATGAGCAGAAAAGAGGAGGCACGAGGAAAATGGAAGTAGCTTCATGAAACATGACCTGCATTCTTTTAGCTCCTTGCCACTCATGCTCACAGTTGGTTTTATAAATGAACAAAACAAATACCTTAACTTAGCTAGTATTGGAGAGAAAATTAGAAACTAACAACCACAAAAAGGTTAGCTGTTACAATAGTTTTGAGAAATTAGACTTCAAACGAATATTTATTTATAAATCAATGGCTGGGTTATTTTTGCACTGAACATTTATGACTCATAATAAAAGCTAGACTATAAAATTATGAAGAAATATTAGTAATTATATCTGGGGCAGAGACTCAGAGACAGCACGCTTATGGTTGCCTCTGAGGAACCACTGACATTGGATTTAAATTTATAAAACAATTAGTATGATAGTGATGTGATGGGGAAATAAAGATTAAATGCAATTTATTAACAGAATCAAACAATAGAATGGGAATATATGAAGACAGAGAGTAGACACAAGAAAAGCAGTTCAGTGTCTTTATCTAGACAGTCTCATAAATTACTTCTCTGGTTTTGAAAAAAAGGAATGCATGCTATCTGCATGTAGGATTATTCTGAGGCTTACTTGAGACTGTGTATGTTAAGTACTTGGCACATAGTAGGTATAAAATAAACCATTGCAATTTATCACTGCATCTGATAAAGGTATCTATGAATCACCTACATAGGCAACAAAAATTACCTAGATATTAGGAAGGGCAACACAGAACTCTACGAGAACTTAAATGATATATGTGGTAACTTTTTCACCAATAAAAAAAATTGAAATTATCTATATCAGGAAGAAAGGACACATTTTTACATAATATGTATATATGTTAAGAGAGATTTTATTCAGTAACAAATTTAAGTAACTAGACTTTTAATACTGAACACTGTAACAATCAAAATCATTATAAACTATAAATTTATTATAACTTGATACAGATTATTCCATCCTTTCAATGCCATTCAAAATTTGCTGAGCTTCTACTATTTCCTCAAATGTATATTTTACTAAGAGAAAACAAAGCATACCGAACAGTTCTACTGACATTGACACCTGGCATAGTTAGTTGAAATCCAGTTTCTTAAAACACAACATTTTTAAATTAAATTTAGTCTGAAAAATCACTAATATTCATAAAATGGAAGCTAATTTTGAATGACATGAAATTTCTAAGTACTGACATTCCTTTCTAAATGAGATCTGAAGAATTCAGGATAATCAAAATGAATCATTAGGAGTTAGACACATTTTCAAACTTCTTAATTTAAAAAAGATGCCAGTGTTCAATTTTAGTATCTTGTTTTCATTATTGAAAAAAATTATACTCCTCACTAAGTCTAAGTCCTTTACCTTAAAAACATTTTTATGCTTTCTTTATGCATAAAAAGCCTTGAATTCCAGAGGCATTATTTTATCTTGAGAAGTTGTCTGCTTATGAATCAGCAAAGAAAGGACAAAAAAACAGATACCTAGTCATAAAACTCACTTAAGTATTGCACTTTACCCAACCCAGATACTCAAATTGAAGTCCATGGTGTCAGGGCACAGGGGAAAATTGACTCACCCCACCTGAGCTCTTCTCAGGCTAGATGGATGAGCGAATTCACATCAGACTGAGTTGTAGAAGCCACTGACGTGTGATAACATACGTATGGAACGTTCACCTGGTTGTAATTTCTAAAGAATAGTGGAGCAGACCCTGTGTTTATGGACCTGGGGTATCAAGGGCAGGGGTGGGGGATGTGGATTTACATGACAGACAAGCAGGGGTTACCTCATTTTTACTCTTAGGATAAATATGAGATTCTCAGAGAAGACACGGTCTCTGATAAACCTACAACTGGATGAGGCCCCCAAAACTACATTCTCTAGGTCACAATCGGAGGAGCAGTGATTCCTTCTATGATTAGAAGAACAAGAGGTCAGGACATGGCTGTCTCTTCTCTGACTAGGGAAAGGGGAAGTTCTTAGAGGACAGAAGCTTCTCCTCAGTCTTAAAGGATTTCATTGCTCTTAGCTCAATACTCTGCCTACCAGAGCGGGTATCTTGAGAAGACCAGTTCTGAGATTAGGATATCTTCAATGGTCACCATCATCCTCATCATCATCATCATTATGGAATCACAGAATCTCAGACTGAGTCATAACCTGCATTTTAGTAAGACCTAAGGGTGATTTACATGTGTATTAATGTTTGATACACATATAATGGTGAAATAATCTGGTTCACTGAAATTACACCTAAACTTCCACCTCTAGGAGAAATGGGTAAGAGAAAAAAATTCTAGTAGAGAACCGTCCCACCCTTAAGCTCTCTTCCCTCTCACTCAACCATAAGTTTTTTTCTTTATTGAGCCCAAAAAGTCAATTTCAGGAAATTGAGTCTATTGCTTTAGAACACAGCTTTCTATCATGGTAAAGGTAGAAGGGGAGTTTTATTTTAAGAAAGAGGTTACACAATTATTTGGCTTTATTTCACAGTGGGAAGGAACAACTTCGTGTTATTTCTAGCACAATATAGGTACAGTAAATAATCCTACGACTCCTATATTTAGGGACAGAATAAACCAGTCATTCTCAGGATGAAAGCAATAAGTGGCCCTCCAACTACTCAAGAAGATAATAGTGAGTTTTTGTTGTCTTTTAAAAGGTGGATGATTACAAAGTTCTAGAGAATCAGAAATAGTTCAAACTGAGCTCTAAAGGAAGTAGGAAATAAGACTCATCATGTCCTACCCAAGAGATTCTGAACAGCTGTTCTTTAATTTGGGAGACTGGATGATGACTGTGACAAGTGAAAGTGCCTGAGATTTAACTGCGTTGGAGTCTGAAAATTTTTTATACCTTATTTGACAAAATGGGAGAAAGTAGAGATTAACCTCAGGGATCAAGAGAGGCCTCAAGACAGAGATATTTCCCCTATTGTGTGATAACATTCAGTTGTAGGAAATTAGCATATATGTATATAGGAAACAAGTGTCTAAAACACTCTCTCATCTCTTGATAGGCCTTAAATCACAATGGGATTAAGTAAATCATCCAGCCATACACCACCTTTTGAATTTATACATTGTTTCTCAGACACCATCAGGCTGTGTTCCTCTTCTTGCTTCTAATCCTTCCTCAGTGCTAACCTTCAGGTAAACCAAACAGTTTTGTTACAGGACTTGATTTAAAAGAATGCAATTAAAAATAGATTTTGAAATTTTCAGAGGAAGTCATAATACAATTCAGAATATATTATTTTCATCCATGCTCAATTTTTCCATATTATCACTTAAAATGCAATTACATTATTTGTGCTAAGGGGTCTGAGTTTTTCATGTAATCATTCAAGAATACAAAGTAGATTAATTAAATTTGGGGGAAATCTATCGCTATCACTGTTCAAAAGGAGATTAATGTATTTTCTCTAATTTATAGTACTGAAGATCTTATGGATTTATGGATAAAGCATGCAAGCTTCTGAAATAGAAGTGAATTGTCAACAGTAAAAGAACTCACACTTGTCTCTATTAATTGTCTCCTAGTACATATTTTAATTCTAGACTCACAACAAACACAGTCGATTTTTAGCTAGTTCCACAATCAGTCATTTGTCTGAGAACCCCTATTGTCAGAGAGATTATATTAGTATGTTCCAGAATTATCTTTTTTAAATGATATGACTTGAATGTCACTTTTATATATGGACCAGATCTCTATCACAAGATAGAATGCTTGGTGGTTCAAAATTGAAATTGTTGGTGTAAGAACATTGCTAATTTGGAATGAGAAATTAAAATACAGTATACACAAGAGCTGGATGAAAAATCAAGTTATCACTTCTTTACAGCTGTAGTTGTTTTCAGAATCAATATAAACTCAAGCCAGCATTATCTTTTCAGTCCATAGTAGAGGTTCTATTGACTGGGGCATGAGCAACCTGGCTTTATATCCATCTTTGCCATTAGCAAACACGGTTGAGCAAGTCACATTTCTGGGCATTGATGTCACCATCTTCAACTTGAAGATCTTGACCATATCAGTGATTCTCAAGTCAAGAGCCTGAACAAGCAAACAAGTATTACCTGAGAATTTGTTAGAAATGCTCTCTCGAAGCCCAACTGTGTATTCACTGAATTCGAAACTCTGAGGGTAGGCTGTTGCAATATGTGTTTTAACAAGCCAGCCAGATCATTTCAATTGGAGACCCATGGATTATGTGATCTCTACAGTTGATTCTAGGTCTGAGGTAATGAGCAAGTAGAACCACCTATTGATGAGCCTAAGTCAAAGACTTACTTGAGTGAAATCACAGCTGGTGTCTCAATGCACCCCAGGACTTAAGAGTGCCTCACTGAAGGAATGAATGATGGGAACTATCATCTCCATAGCAGATCAGCCTGTCTCCCCTCAAATTCTAATTGCACTATATTGATGATCATTTAATGGCTACTATCACCCTTTGCATCCGTCACCCTGTTGTGACTGTCACTTGTTCATCTGTTTTATTGTTCCTGTTTTATCCTTCATAAGGGGTTCCTTCCTATAGCCCAAAGAGCAGTGTTTTCCAACTTTACCATGTATAAAAGCATTTGGCGCGTAAACTAAAACACATATTGTAGAGTCTTACCCTTAGAGTTTTCTGGTGGAGGAGGTCTAGGATGGGATCTGAACTTCTGCATTTTTGACAAGGTGATGCTGATGTTGCTAGTCAGAGGACTCTGCTTCGAGAGCCACTGCCAGAGAGCACAACCCCTGGGGACACCAGCTTGAGGGAGTAACAGAAAACTTAAAGTGTCTGTTGAGTGTAAGGAATTACATAAATTTTGAGATTAAAAAAAGTTAACAAGAAGTATGAAATAAGAATAGACACACTTATAAATGTATAATAGTTATAATATTTATAAGTAACTTATTTTTCCAGAATAGGAACATTCCCTTCTAACAGCCTTCCATAAACACAATATAATTTATCTTTTTAATTATTCCTTTTCTAAATGGCATATTTCTTCTCACAAAGAATCTTCCAAAAAATCTTAAGCTATAGTAGTAAAGAAATTTAAATATTTTTAAAATAGTATAATATGAAAATTCATTGTGCTTCTACAGACACATACCTTTGTAAGTTCTCTCTCAAATTAATTATTTTATAGATTTCTTTAAAAGCTGAAACTATCCGTTAGAGAGCAATTCTAATTCAGTATTGGTTATTCAAACATACTCCGTGTAGACCTCAGCTTCGGCAACTGAGCTGGGAAGACAAGGAGGTGAGAAGCAAAGTCACTGATGAGAAACAATCTAGATAAACATGACTGAGAGGACACTGCTAAATTTAATGAGTCTGCCATTCTGCAAAGTAGAATTCCAGGTGTTTAAATTAAAATGCACAGAAATCTAAGAAACAAATTCCTAATATAGAATCCAGTCTGTGAAAATACAATCTCAAAGTGTTAGCTAGCCGTTATTTCTACTATAAGATAATGTGTAGGGTAAGTAAAGTATCAGGCTTTTCTGCCCTCCCACCGTTAGGATTGATGATGGATCCTTGTGGTCCTGAATGCATGCCTGATGGTGGGCACCTGGAATAGGGTGTGGGCATATGTAGATGGCATTCACCTGGGCTAAGACTGGGCTTATAAGGGCAGCGTCACTGGGACGCCGGGGGAGACTAGAACCATGAGTTGAGCAGAAGAAGCCGAAAGCAGAACCACAAGAGAAGCACCAGAGATTGCCAGAGAGCCCAGGTAGAGTGAAGACTTGCTGGGGGCTGGGAGGCCTGCCAGCCTCCCGGCCCCCCCAGCACCCCTGAATGCCGTGTACCTGGTAAATCCAAATAAAAGCCTGCAAAAGCCACTGAGGACTCCAGAACTTCTCCTTCACCTGTCTGCTCTGGTCATAGAGATCCTGCTCCATGTCCTCCTGCCATTACATAATGTAACTGCTGTCAAATGATTCCAAGGTGGGCTCATTAAATAATACATTTCTTACTTGTATCTTCAATATTATTTAGGTTTTACACACAGTTTTTTCAGCAGTATATCCATGGTATAAACCAAGGCACACTTCTATTTGGGAAAAAAGAAAATAACACAGGGCACAGGTTTATAACACAAAAATTAATTTAAAAGTCTTGAAATGATTTAACTTTGCTTCTGACAACATTACAGAAAATGCAAGTTCCAGTAACACTAAATAGCATTGTGAAACTGTACATTTTCAGTATTGATGAATTTAAGAATAGACCATAAATTTTCATTCTATAATAATTGCCTACAGTTGATAAAGAAATACTTGAAAAATTCTGATTTTTCTGGTAATTCTAACCTGTTTTTTAGTGTTACAATCTAACTTACTTGCTTTCTCCTGTGACTAATTATTCATATATTTGTTCACTCAACTAATGCTGAGCGTTGATTCACGCCAGGCTCTCTTCTAGGCACTGGGGATAAAAAGGACTCATCCTTTTCCTTACAGACTTTCCTACTAGTGTGTTGGGAGTGAACTTCATTGGCTGTCCTGTCTGTACCACTGGTGGAGGGAATCAATAATAATATTCAACTTATAAGCATATTAAATACATTGAAGGCACAGATGGTATCTTATTGTCGGCACAGTGCTTATTTGGTGCTCAATATTATATGGATGCATTCTTCATGGTGTGCAGATGGCTATGTCCTTAAATTAAGGATAACCAGTTCAAATATATATTTTAAAGTCATCCTGTTATGATACAATATTCTATTTGAATAAGTCAGTTTTTCTGTTCTTTAAAGAAATGCTGTGCATGCTATACGTCATTAATGTAAATGTGTATTTTCATATTTTTTTCTGATTTAAAACATAGTAAAACATGGCTGATATCCTAAGTAAATTATTTAGTAATCCTCATGTCTCTGATCTGAAAACTGTACAAACACAGTATTATTCCCCACCTTCCTGCACCTTTTGATTGTGGAAACAAAATCTAAGGAAAGATGAAAATTAATTAGAACTATATTGTATATATAACCATGGCATGAAATAAGGAATTATAAAGGAGTAAATTATGGTTGGTTGCTATGGGAGCCATAATTTAGTTCTTTGGGCCAAAGCTTTAACACTGTTCAGGTGAACTCTGATTGATTGATTGATTTATAGATTTATTTATTCATACAAGAGCTGGGGTACAGGCCAGAGGCATGGGAGGGTGAGAGACTTGACCAGAGAGAGCGGGGAGCAGAACAGGCAGACGGATGGAAGATAATGCTGAGGGGTGCAGCGGGCCAGACAGGAGAGGTCTGCCATGTGGGAATCGCTCTGGCCAGCTACTCAACCCGCTGCGGGGAGGCCCGAACTCTATTTTAAAGAATAATACAAAGAGGAAATAATCTGAGAGTTAATAACAAATTTTACAGAGTTCATTTTGCTCAAAAATGTACACAAAGAAAATACTCGTTTCACAAACTTGAATAGGGAATGACATTTCAGTGCCACTGATATAAGGATCAACCTTAAAAGCCATTCAGTTTCTCTACAACATTCATTATTTGATTATCCCTGATGAAATGACTTACAGATTAATTAAACCAGACTCAATATAAAATCTGTGTTCTGATAATAAAAATATAAAAATCAGAGTCCTGTAATCTATTTAAGTTCTGATATTTGTTAATTTAAACTCCATTTGAAACTCATTGCAGACAACAAAATCTGTTCATACTCTAGCCGATGAAAGACTATTTTCAATAGTTCTTTAACTATTGAAATTTAGGCAGGCAAAATAATTTTAGATTATTTAGATAATTTAGATAATTTAGGCAGGCAAAATAATTTTTCACTTGTGAAAAATTTCACTTGTGAAAATTGGTGATTTTTCTCTGTATGATATTGTGTTAGCAGAGGCATCATAATCAAAGTTTTAAAAACTGCATGTTAAAATGACTAAAGAAAAATAGTCTATAGGAGGTAATTTTGTGTATATTTCCTACCCAAAACATGATAAGCCCAAACTACTGTATGGCTTTGAGTAAAATCACAAAACATGTTTTTTTTTTCCCCAACTTATAAAGTGCTACTTTCCTGAGGTAAAAAGTTAAACAGGGAAACTGTTAACAACTTCGCTCCAAAATTAAACTAGAGTTCATGATATTTGACTATTTGTTCAAATAGTCAAATAGTAATTAATCATAAAAGGTTGACTTTCATTTCCACTAATAAAGTTGCCTTGCAAATCACTTCCAAGCTATAAAAAGTAAATGCAAATAATGACATTTCAAAATATCCTACACAATTAATTTATTTGTTTGAATTTATGAATACATATATTTTCTTGGCTACTGGTTACAGTGACTCATAACTGAATATTTCCCTTACTTTTTAATTAGAAAGACATAGCACTCAAAGTCAATAAAACTAGAGTAAGGGGGAAAATGTTGCAAAAGAGCACAGATGACTGTAAAAGAGGAAAACAGAATAAGAAAAAACAGGAAATTTAGATATACCAAATCTGTTTCTCTACCTTAATTGTAATCAAATTACCAGTTAAATCTGATGTCTCCATTGTCAATGTAATACAAAGACACTACAGAGAATGACGTATTTCTATTATCACCATCCTTTCTAATACCAGATTGCTAAGTTTGAAAAGCAAATTTCAGGTACCAAAATCACATGTCTACTTTCACTAAACAGTATATCTTATTGCAAAGAATTAGTTCATTTACTGCCTACATTTCTTATGGAGACTCTTCTAGCTTATTAGAACCTTTTGATGTGCTTGGAGAATATTCTCCCTCAGTTAAAAAATTGCTATTCTGAAACGAGGGAGGAGGACAGGGAACTGCGGTGATGATACAGGGTGGATTGGTGGTGGAAATTCTATGGTGACTACACCTGAGAAAATGAACAATGATGTAAAATATATATAAATAAATTTTAAAAAATAAAATGATACTCTTTGGGAGGAAAAAAAAAAACAACTGCTGGTCTGTATTTAACTAGAAATTTTAGATTTCCAAAAGTACCCAGTGAAATGTAGAAACATCATTGTCCCACTAGGTAGGGTGTCTAGTAGTCTGCATAAAGACATAGGGGAATATCGCACCAGTTTTTTTAAATATCTATTTCATTTAAAATTTAACAAAAAAAAATCATGTCTAGGACAGCGTACATTAAAGATCCACGGTCACTGAGTTTATTCCACATTAATGAACCTGCTGACAGTATATTTGATGCTGTTTTTCAGGGACTAACAGTCACAGAATATGTTGGCTAGAGACAGAAAATTGAAATATACCAGAGGCATCTCCTCACAAGGCAGCCACCAAGGTCTCTCCTGCCTGCTTCTTGACAACTTGGTGAAAAGGTGTAAACCCAGGTAGGTGTGTGCTATTAGCCAGCAGAGGTCTGCCCTGGACATACTCAGCGATTCTGAAGATAGCTTTAAAATAAAGGAAAGGAAGAAGATAGGAGGGTGGAATTGTTAACATGAAAATAAAGAGCAAAAGGGGGCTGCATAAAAGGCATCTTCTCTACCCCACAGTGAGGAGTTCAGATGTTGAACACAAGTAGGGATTGACTGGAGAGAGATTGAGGAAGTGGAACAGCTGAGTAAGGCTGAAAATTTAGATGTCTCTGTGGTAGAGGTTTAATGGGCCCCAAACAAACTGCAACACTGTTGTCTTTGACTTCCTTTTGGGAATTCCTCTAGTAGTTCAGTTCCCTTAGGCAGGTGGATCCAAGTTCTCCTCCTGACCACAGCACATCCTCCTTTGGAATCACATTCCATTTCCTTGTAGGTAAATCTTAATCTCTAAAAGCATAGTTTCTGTTAGGTCTGGATTTACTAAATTGATCAAAGTGATACTATTCCAAGCCCAATGGAAAACACTGGCACTTTAAAAGAGAAGCATTAATTGTAATGGTCTGGCATAAGAAAAGTCTGCTAGTTTAGTGTTGGCTCCACTAGGTTCACCCCAGGCTACCATTTCTACATGGTCAAGTTCAGAGCAGTGGCTATTGAACAGGTTATTTGGTGATATTTGAAGACATATTTGACTGTTAAGACTGGGGAGTGGGAATCTGCTATTGGCATCCAGTATGGTAGAGGCCAGGGACACTTCTAATCATCCTAAAATGCTTGGAACAGGAGCTTCCCTGATGGCGCAAGGGGTTAAGGCGCAGCACTATGAAGCTATCCTCAGCCATTTCAGTACAAGTTCGATCCCTGACCAGGGAGGTGACCCACATGGCCCAGCAGACCTCTCAGGTCTCACCTGCTGCTCCCCTCAGCAGTGTACTCAGTCAATCTGCCTGTTCTGTTCCTGACTCTGTCTCTGGTGATTCCTCTCACCCACCTCTGGCCTGCACCCCAGTTCTTGCATGCATAAATCAATCTTTAAAATAAAATGCATAGAACCGTCCTCCACAAAAAAAAAAAAAAAAAAAAAAAAATCGAGCCCAAAATGTTAGAAGTTGAGGTACCTGGAGTTAGAAACAAATTTATTACAGTAGTATTATCAAACTTCTTTCACCCCACAAACAACTTCTTCCCTTGGCCAGTACCAGCATAAGCCTCAGTAAATCCTGAGTCACAATGAATCAGAAATTTGCAGACAAGGAAATCCTCTAGCATTTGGAGGAATGCAGGAGCAGGGTGTGGGCTGAGGACAATCCACTTCAGCCTGTACTTGATTGCCCCTCTCCGCTCCACCATATTCTCCTGCCTTAGCAACAAAAATACCAAGACCGTCTGCTGAACATTACCAAAATGATTAAGAAAAACATTTCACTGTTTTACCATTATTTATGTTTCCTCAGTAACAAAATAAAAGCTGGTTCATACAAAAATTCAGAAATAGTTCTACTCCTTGGATTTGGCTTTTGTTGGCTCTGTCTTCCCATGTATAAGAACATTCTCTTAAGAAAGAGAACGTATTTTGGTTGTTTCTCATTTTCTCAAGGTTAATGAGGATGGAGAGCTGGTCTAGAAATATTTTTAGGTAGTTATAAAACATTCAACTGAATATTCCTGATTGAATTCTTTTTTCAAAAAAAAAAAAACCTTTTATGAGTTTTAAAAAACCCCTACAGCAATGCCCCCATGTAAATGTAAGGTCTGTTTAGTGCACATTCTCTGTTTCAGTATGGAACTCAAATGCAGCGTGAAATTACTTCTATTCATACTGTTACATGGAAAATACATTTATGAAGTTTTTATCAGTTCTTAGAATTTTTGTCTATTAATAAGGTCATCTTTGTGATGGAGAAAATCATCTGCATCAATCAGATGTGTCTGAATGAAATGATATACAAGAAGAAAAATAATAGGTTGTATAACAAAGTAAGTAAAGCTAACTCAACTTAGAGCAAAGAGCTTAAACTCAAGCTCTTCCTGCTAGATGATGAATGATGTTAAAATCAAACTTAGGAATGTACTTGTAATTCTTTAATCTACTTAAAATGTAGAATACAAAACTGGCTAAAATATATTCAAAATATATTTTATTGACATGTTCTTATAGAATTTTGCCAGTACACATCTCTATGGAGGCTTTTTAAAATGAGCTATAATTCAATATGTTAGCCTTTAAAGAGAATATTTAGAAATATTATATTAATATGTATAGCTTTAAATAACATTAAAATATTCTGAGATCATGACTAAAATCAGATTTCAAAAACATGTTAGTCTATGACCATACCATTCTGAATGTGCGTAGTCTCATCTGAAAACTTTTTATAAATGGTCAGCTTGCCTTTATTATACTATAAAACTATAATAATTTGCATCACATAAATGGATGTATAGTAATTAGATTTTTTTAAAAAAATAGTGCCTTTGGATGAACTATTCTGCTACCTCTGTAATTTTCTGACTTTCTACATTTAGAAAGTATGTTAAATTCATGAGAGTCTCCATGAATTGGCCACTAGAAATCATTTTGCAAACAGCAGGAATTTAGTACTACAACTCCCTTCAATTCATATGATTTTACAGTATGATTTTATCTCTGTTTACATATGATTTTACCTCTGTTTCTGCTACCTCTATAGCTTGTTACCCAACATTTCTTTCTCTCAGCTGGTTGCTTTGTTCCAGTAAGCACTAAAGGCAAGAGAATAAGAACTTTTGTGTAAAGTAACTGTAAGCTTAGCAAACTTACTGCATCAGCTTATTTCTTTGGTACACCAACTTTTAGCAGATTATCTTCTACAAAAGAAGTACCCTAACCTGAAACTTCTTTTCATGAGGAGGCCCCAAAGACTGCATGCCAACAATTGTTTTCCTTAAGATTATAACCTACAGCACCCATTTTTGTTTCATTAAAACAAACCAAGAGTAAACAAACTCGTCTTTTCCTCCATTTTTCTCTCTTGCCTTCAATATAGAAATAGGAGAGCAAATTGATTTCCTATTTCTAAATGTTCAACTTTAGTTAATCTCATAAAGGAAGTTGGAAACAATGCACAACATGACAGAGTTCCACTGTAACAAAACAACTATTAGTTACTGAAATCTTAAATCTTTGGGATCTATTTTTATTTGCAATATTCATTACCTTTCAAAGTTCCAAATTTCAAGAAATGTACCTCCGTATTGCCTACCAGATAAATCTACAGGAGTATAATTGATGTCACATGTAAGCTGTCCTTTTCCATATGCTTTTATTAATAGAAGCTATTTTCGCAATTTTAGCAGTAGGTCTTAAACCATAGCTAATAGTATGTGCTCAATAAATGCTTGCTGAAGAACAAATGAACCAATAACAGCTATAATTATCAATTTCCAATGTAACCATAATTCTTACCTATGAAGTAACAATACCAGGCCCTTTTATTTTAGCACCCCTGTTCTCAATGCACCAATAATCTTTCTCTTCTATTTAAAAAAATATTTTTGCTACATTTGCACATTTATCACAAATCAACTACACATCATCAAACCCCTGATAAATTTAGCAAACACATCATTTTGCCAGATAATTCATTTGAAAAATAATGCTTAGTCAATTGGACAGCTACTCTCCTATGGAAAACATTTCCACAAGACTTAATGCCAAAGGAAGAAGACAAATAGCTGTTCCCTCCAATTTATAAAACAGATCAACATTCACAATTCCAAATGTTTAAGATGTATAACAAAACAAGATATGTGGCACAGCTTTATAAATTCTGCCTGAATGGGTAACTTTAAACTATATGATAGCAAATTGACTAATACCTCGAAACTGAGTGTATGTATTTACATACACACATATACATATATATACACATTGTGCTTAGCATGATCTGAATTTCCGCCTTAATTCTCAAATATTGGGTTTTTTTAGTATACATGCTCAGAAGTGTACAAAAGATGAAATCTTTGCCTTTTAATCTTGAAGTAAAGAGGAAATACTTCAAAGTATTACCTTTTATCTAAGATACTCTTTTCAGAATTGCTTTTGGAAGAGCAAATATTGATTCTGATTATTTAGACCTATGCCCCTATTCTAATCATTTTCTCATTGTAGTCAACTTCTGAATTAACACTGAAAAACAGAGGAAATTTCCATGTACTAATGTCATAATGGTCAGGCACTTAATCTGCAATGTGTATATCCCACTTCATACTCTGCAGTTTAACAGCCTTATCTGTCCTCTTCAGCTGTAGATATCAATAGAGATTATCCTATTACTTTGTGGTAGGCGACACAATATAATATATTACCTGGATTTTAAGTCAGAGACTTTTTAAGTCAGCGACCCAAAAGTATCTTAGGTGGAACTTGGTAATTTGTATATACCCTAGAATCATCTGAAATATCATCACCTGCAAACTTGCTTGAAATGTTAGTTATGAGCCATATGCAGACTTATGGGATAGGACACCAAAGGAAGGGCCCAGTGATATATGTTTCTATCTACGAGTTTAATATGTGGTGAAGTTTGAGAAACCCTGGACTAGAGGGTCCCTAAAGACTTTCAAACCACAGAAATCCAGTTATCAGATGAGAACTAGCACCATCTTCATGAAATGTATTCAGTAATACCTAGTAGTCCAAGTATACTATTATAAGCAAGAACATCACATTGTACTAATTTTTAAAAACTTGATACATTTTCATAAAGACAAAATGTATACTAAATAAGCTTTTCCAGGTGACACTGTGACAAATATTTGATACCATTTTAACAGTGGTAATCTGCAATTTAAATGTTTCTTTCATATTTAAGTTCATACATAAGTAGGGATCTTTTTCCAACTATTAAAGCATGAATGAAAAATATGTATTCTTATGACAGAAAGGTACAGGCATTTTACATCCATTTTTCAAGAACAGAATATATATGAGACATATAGAATATATAAAGAAAATATATCTCACATGTATTCTGTTCTCTCACTTTCCCATTCTATGAGAAATACTGGTATATATTTCAAAAGGGGTGCAAGCAGTAACGTGCTGGTGAAGACATCTAAAAAACTACCTAACACATCAAATAGAGGAGGCATTTTAGGATTCCCACCCACAGAAAATGTTAACTAATCAGGACACATGAGGGCTCATACATCTGAAGAATTCTTATCCCTAATAGATTTGATCCCACAATGTGATTCAGTAAAACTTATGTCCACAGTTAACATGGAAATGTTCCACCTGAGAAACATTCACTTCCAAATGTTAAGAATTAAGATACCTTCAATTTTTCTAAGGCTATTACAAAAGGGGAACAGAAATAATTCTTTGAAATGACATACAGACTGGATGACTGTCAGGAACCAAAAGGAAGAGCTGTTACAAGACAGCAGGGGTCAAGTTTAAAAGTTAGCTCTTCCTCCCTCAGATAAAGGTTCCTTTCCCGCCCAGTTTGTTTTGACAGGTGATTGCCTTTCAAGGAACTTGTTGCCACCTCCCTCGCTTTTAACACTCTTAGTTCAACTTTTCATCTAAACAAATGCTCTTATCTCTTCTCACCAGAATACTAGAAGGGGTTCTTACCGGCCAAGTAAACTGACATATTCTTAAAATCAATGTCCCTAATTTCTCTCAATGTTGTCAAGGAAATAACACAGAAACTCAGAGCTACTATTTTCTTGTTCCAGGCACACACACAAAATTGCTTTCAATGAGAATCCAAAAAGTATTTATTTTACAGTACTAGGTAAAAGCATATTGAAATCTTCTGCCCTACCATCCCAGACCTATAAAGAATTTAGTCATGCAAGTGACTAAATCCTATATTATGATGATTAATGCATCCAATAACCTACTTCATTTCCAATTTCCCATTTTCAAATATTCCCTGTCAGGAGTATATACATTTATTTTATTAGCTACTTGGCAGCATTTTATGTCAAAAGGCTTCCAAAATAACAAAACCATATGAAACAGTCAACAAATGCCTTTTTAAAAAATCCTTCACACAGCACTTGATACACGTGTTCAGAATTTTCAACACTTTAGATCTACTGGAACAACTATATTCACTCAAATGCCAGAACATATTGTTGCAAAGGCATACATTTGAGTAGTTCCTTTTAACTTCTATTTTTAGAATATATACATTTCACCATCCAATTGAGTTTAATATTATTACTTAAGTGGGATCAAGAGTGAAAAGAGGTCATAGGACCATCACAGGCAAAATTCTCTATTCTTCCTCCAACTGGGAATCCTGAGATGTTACCTGGGCAAATAAGACTTTTTAAGGCAAGTTATTTTAATACTTCAAAGAAACCTGTGTACTGTAATTGCTTTTGGCTTCCCCAACAGAATAAATCTTTGTCAAAAGATCCTTCAGAAGACCTCACCTACACTTCCTAGACCTAAGGCAGATCAAGTGCTCTTGATACATAACCATACACCTTCTTTTATCCTACAGTGGTTATATTACCAAAGGCCTCCTGAACAGAAATAAAATTAAAATAAAAAGATCACACTGCTTCCTACTGTTAGAAGGAAAACTTTATGAGGTCAAAATGGTCCACAAACTGCACAGTGTAATGAGAATGAAGGGGTTTGTCTCAGTTTTTCTTTTTTTAAATCTAATGATCGATTTCCAAATTAAAACCTCAAAGCGTAGAGATACGGTCCACAGTCCAAACACTGGACTGTCAAAAATACAAGGTGTGAATTCAGAATTGGAATCATTTCCCCCAAACCCTCTTTTGATTTGATGTGTAAACTGAAACCAAGAAAAAGGGAAGAAAAATTAAAACTCATCTCCATTCTGCCTTCTGAGGTGGATGGTTGTTCCCAGATCCAAGGCAGTATGAACAGTGGATGTCTCCCCTCCCCGCCCTACAGCAAGGTAAAATGTTCCATATTGCAGTACAGATGCAATGTCCAGATCATCCTGTAGTCACAAGGTACCATCATACCCCAGGGCTTCTAAGACCTCGACAATTTTTTACATATTTAAGGAGTTGGGAGTAACCTGACCCAACTTTTTACTGAAATACTCTGTCTTCAAAATCTGACAAACAACAGTTGGGGGGCATCATGCACCTGCCCCTGTCCACCTAAGGTGGTATTAAGTCACTGAATATGAAACACAGAAACACAAACAATAGTTTTGGGTTTGTTTCTTTAAAAATGACATTTGTATTAAAAGTCTTGAAGAGACAATGATCAAACGCATGTCTGGAATTAAAAATTACAATTAGAATTCTCTTGGTATATCACAACAGTAAAATTTTGCTCTTTGCGTCTGGAGGACAACCCTATGACAGATAAACATGACATCTTTAAAATAATATAAAAGGGGAGCTAAATACCTGAACATTTGAACAAAATGAAGCAAAAAAAAAAAAAAGAAAAACAGCACACACAATTGCAAAACATTAAAATTGCATTTTAAAGTATGGAAATAATATAGAAATTCACCGAACAACAGGCCTATTGTCCTGGCTCCTTCAGGAAGATTACTGAAAGGAAACTGGGAAGTGGTTTGGGGAAGAGCAGATTCTGGGATATGGTGGGAAGTTCACAGGATGGCACCGGCTGGAACAGCTGAGTTTTGAAGGCACTCTGCAGACACAGGGGTGCTGGGAGCCCTGAATCACATTTGCGAAGTCTTTGTACTGTATTTTAAAGAGCTAGTCACCAAAATCTGTTACTGCCAACCAATAAGAACAAGAAGCTCAACTTAAACACACATACACACACACACACACGCACACACACAAATAGTACACACACAAATGTGCAGAATCTGTAACATTTTTTTTTCACAGCTGATAAAAAAAAATACTACCGTTCTCCCCCCAGACCCTCCCCCTTTTGATACAGTAGGTAAACAAAATAGATTTTTTTTTCCACAAATATCAGCAGACACTGGCACCCCACACTATTGGCATCAGTGTTAACAGTCCCAGATCAGATGTGCAATACTTCAGATTGGATACACTGTAACAAGAATCCAACTTTGCATAGACATCCTCAGAATCGCCATCAGTCACGGGGTTGCCCTTCCAAGCTGGCAGAAAAGGAACCCAACCTTAATTTCCAGCTACTCTTAGAAAAAAAAAAAAAAGGAGGAAAAAACAAAAGTTTCTTCCTCTCCTCCTGCTCCTTCATTTGGTTCTCCCGGACTTCCTTCCATGTATTTAAAACTTGCAACTAGAAAACGGCTGTTGACAAAAAAAAAAAAAAAAAGAACAAAACAGGACTCCCCCCTTCCACGTCCTGTGCATTTCCCCCACCCCTATTTCTTCCAGGCTGAAACTTTCGCTGGCCGGTGTCAGGAAGCCAATCTAGCGCCCTAGCGGCTACTTAAACGGGGACATATGCGCCAACCAAAATCAATGAGAAACGTACATGCTGCAAAGAGCCACATTCCCAAGGGGTCTCGGCTGGTCAGGACGGGACACCCCCTCTGACACGAGGCGGAGACAGGGGACCCGGGCCGGGAAAGCCAGTTGGGCTCCCAGGACACCCCGGCCAATGCAAAGTCATCTCCAATCTCAAAGCAAGACGAGAAAAATCACATTTAGACAGTCGGGTGCGTTTGGCTTTTGTGCGCAGAGCGAGCGCGGCCGGCGCGCAGCCCGCGGGCACCTAGAGGATCACGCAGGCCGAGCAGCAGCCCTCGTCGCCGTTGGGCTGCGCCGCGTAGTTCATCTGCCGCACGATCTCGGCGAACAGCTCGTCCACCGAGGCTTTGTTTTTGGCCGAGGTCTCCATGAAGGGGCAGCTCCACTCCTCGGCGAGGGCCTTGCCCTCGCCATAAGAGACCTCGCGCTCGCCTTCCAGGTCCACCTTGTTGCCCACCAGGATCATGGGCACGCGCTCGTACCGCTTCACGCGGATGATCTGGTCCCGCATGGGCTTGATGTCCTGGAAGCTCTGCTGGTTGACCAGGCTGTAGACCAGGATGAAGCCCTGGCCGTTCTTGATGTACAGGTCCCGCATGGACGCGAACTGCTCCGTGCCCGCCGTGTCCAGGATCTCCAGCACCGACGGCGACGAGTCCACCTCGATCTCCTTGCGGTAGAAGTCCTCGATCGTGGGGTCGTACTTCTCGATGAAGGAGCCCGTCACGAACTGCACCGTGAGCGCCGACTTGCCCACGCCGCCTGAGCCCAGCACCACCACTTTGTACTCTCTCATGGCTCCGCTGGCGCTCTCACCGCGCCTGCCGCGGCCCCGTCGGGGCTGCGCGCCCGGGGAAGGCTGGGCTCAGGAGCTGGACTTCTCCCCTTGCTCGGTTCCACAGGAAAAACCCAGGAGAGAGGGACGCGGGCGCGCGGAAATCACCAGGCGGGGCCTGGCGCTGGGTCGGCGGTGCGTCCCTGGGGCGCGGGTCCGGGGCCCCGCAGCAGCCCGCGGCGGCAGCTGCAGCCCAGGCGGCAGCCCGGGAGGACAATGCCGGCTGCCTGCGCGAGGCGACGGCTGTAGCTCCGCGCCGCCGCAGCCCGGGAGGGCGGGGAGGCGCTGGCGGCGGGTGGCGGAGGCGGCTGCTAATTGCGCGCCGGGCCGGGACGCGCGTGGCATGAGTCCCCGCAGAGCGTGCGCCCACCGCCGCGGCCCATCGCGCTCTCTCCCGCAACCTCCGCGGGGCGAGGGCTTCCTACTCGCAGCGCGCAGCCCAGCCCTCCCCGCCCGGGCGAGCATGCCCAGTGCGCCGCTGGCCGCGCCCGCGCGCTGCGCCGCACCAGGTTTTCCAGGGGACGGGCCGGGGGTGGAGGCGGGGCCGGGGCGGAGCCCCAAATCCGTTCTGGAGGCGCGGACCCGGGGAAGGCGTGAGTCCAGACGGCTGGGAAATGGGTGCGCCAGCGGCGGTGCTTGAGGGTCGGGCAAGCTCAGGTGGGAGTGGGGAGGCCGCTTTGTTGTGGCTCTGGGGCGCGTGCGTCACGGCGGCGGCCCCGTGAGAAGCCTGTGGGCGCAGCGGGACGTCCAGGAATGGGGTGGGCTGTGCTGTCGACTCCCGTTACCACGGCCTACGGACTTCACCCCCGGACCCCGGCGGGCGTGCGCCTCGGGGGCGCAGATGGAACGCGCGCCAGGGTGCCTTGGAGTGCATGAACTCGGCCTGCAGTGGCTTCCCGAGGAGAGAAGGGGCAGCCTCTCGCGACCCGAGCTTCATTGGGGCTGCAGCATGGCTGGTCCGCCCACCACCCCTCTCCCGACCCCCCCCCCCCCCCCCCCCAGGACGGCGGGGTCCGAAACGCGGAGACTGGATCGCAGCTCGATCCAGAGGCGGCGGCGCGCCGGGAGCCGGTCGGGGCATGCTCAGTGCGCAGAGCAGGTTTTCGGCTGGGGAGTAGGAAGCCTTTGCACCACACACCCACACTCCAGCTCGAATTACCTCTCTCCGACTCGGGAACCATTGGCCCCGGGGCGCAAATCTCACACCCCCAAACCTCCTTCCATTGGCTACCACCGAGGCGTTCAAAGTTTGGGCGGTTTCATTGGCTAAAAAGTAGCCTCCGCTCGTGATTGGTTATTTATAGAGATTGAGTTGAGAGGCGGAGGCACAGCTGTTCTTTCTCTGCTGCCCCCTCCTCCTACTTCCCCAACCCAGTCGTTTTGAAGAGAAGAGTGAAAAAATAGGAGGAATTTAGGCGGAGATCGCAGGGCTAAATATAGTCCTTTGTCAGTGTTTTCAAGAGTCTGAATTCTCGATGCCCAGGCACGGTTGTCCCTTTAAGGGGACCAAAAGGGCTCTTGCACTTTTAGGTCTCCAAGAAACAGCAAAGTTTCCAAGATATATATATATATATATATATATATATATATATATATATATATATATATATATATATTATTTTTTTTTTTTTCCCCAAGGTGGAAGAGTAGGGGAGTAGGATGGGAAAATATAACCCCTTTGAATTCTTTCGCCCTCGAGGGGTGGGGGAGTGCCAGGGCTTGCGCCTTGGTGAGGGCTTGGCTTTGGGGCAGGCAGGCACCTGGGTAGGCGAGGGCTGTGCCTCAACTTGCTCGGAGTCGCAAAGGTTCCCCGCCGAGGAGAGATGTCAAAACCTGTTTGAAGCCTGAGCATGTTAGCCTGAGCCCCCGGGGCAGGGGTGGGAGGAGACCGCACCGAGCCAACACAGGTACGGAATCCTGCATTTTGACCCGGTGCCACTCCCGGCTGGCTTACCCACGCAGCGGGAGGGTGAACCGGGCAGTGTGCTCACACGCGCTCTCAGGTCCCTGGTCCCGCTGTTGAGTCACCGCCACGTTTGCGAGTTAACCTTTGCCAAAGCCCTGGCTGTCGCTGCCAAGCACATCTTGAGTGTGAAGCCCTTAGACACCCTACCTGGCTGGGCCTACCTGGCAGTAGGAGTTCATCCCTCGGGAGGGTGGTCACCAGCCCTGCGCTGGCCCCGCCATTGAGTGGATAGGGGGTTGAATCTTGAGTAAGAGAATATTTGGATATCATCATGCTTATATAATTCTCTGGAAAAATCTCTCAAAGGCACAGTCACCTAATACAGATGGAGAGAACCGTGTAGTATTATCCAGCCTTTAATATCTGCCAAATGCTTTCCATGAACCATGTCATTTACTCCTCTTAATGAGAACTATAATAATATCTACTTTAAAGATGGGGAAACTGGGACCCTAAGATGTGACTTATCTGAGATGCCACGATTTATGGACGGTCAACCTAGGATTCTAACCCAGATGGGTTTGGTTGTAGAACCTAGTCTTTGTCAGCATTAGGCCTGACTAGCTGCTCACAAGAAAGTTCCCAGATTTTACTCATTCTTAGGTTAAATCTTGAAGTACTGTGATCAGATGGGCTATAAAATCCAAGCAACAAGAACCTCTATCCTGGGCAACATCTGACTCTTTTGTCAGGGACCTTTCTCACAGGGTCATGTTCCAGGTGGTCAGAATCCAGGAACCTTTTGCCCAAATAGCACTCAACCCTCTTCCAGGATCTTTGCACCTCCGAACTCACTTCTCCAAGAAATGCCTCTGTGTTGGCATATGGACAGCTTTGGAGCTCTGGGCTGAAGCGTGCACTCCCAGGCAACTGGGGCCTCTGCTGAGCACAGGAAGAACAATCGGTTGTGGGGAGCTTTTCCTTCCCTGGCACCTACCTTCCAGTCTAGACAGTGGAGAAGTCCAAGAATTTACGATTTACACTTGGACATCTAGATCCTTGTGAAAAGGAATTTTTCAAGGTGGGAAAATAAATCTTACTTTGTTCAACAATTATCTTGACTTATTTAAATACTTAGATTAATGCTCTGTGGCCCTCTATTTGTCTTGTTGCCCACACATGTAGGTGTGGTTCTCAGTGTGATACAGTAGAAAATCTGTTGAACTTACCAGCCTGGCAACTAGTCTCAAATATCGGATGTCAATCATAACCTGAGGCTTTGGGCAGGTCCCTTAAGCACTCCTGATCTTCGTTTGCCTAAATGTGAAATGTTGATAAGAAAAGCTGCACTACTCCCCCACCTACACAGGAACCTTGAAGAGAACCTAGTTGCCAAACCCTTCATTTTACATCAGAGAGCTGACAGAATTAGAACCCTAGTGTCCTGGCTGCCCTTTTCATGGTGCCACTGTTAGGGGGAAGTGATGTCCTGAGTTAATCCCATACAGGATTAACTTTGTGGACTCCACCCCCACTCCAGACTAAAGCCATCAAGACTCTGGGAAAGACTGTATCGGGGTTGCTCTACAACACCACCCTTTCATCAGGAGTAATAATTAACAGATAATGGATGGAAACTCGCTGTTAAAGCTGCAATGCCCCACAAGTGCTTGGCAATTACTACCCAGATCGGGCACCTGAGACCACTTCAGGGCTTCAGCTTGTCACCAGAGGGTCTGATTGAATCTTGATGACCTCTCTGGCACTAGAAAAATGCCACGGTTTGAGTACATTCAGTTAGAAAGTCTTCTACTGTCATTTCCAGGTGCCCTCCCACAGAAAGATTGGTACTGGGGCATTGTGATTGAAAATGAACTCATGAAATTGCTGCTGCACACATTTTTTGAGGTTGGTCATTCTGATGAAATGTTAGGAGTCTTTAGTTCACTTATGGCATAAATCATTATCTTTCCTGTACTATACTTATCTCCATATGTGTGTCTTGTCACCCTAGCTCTGGGTCAATTCCTTGAGGCCAGTGTTCATATCTGGCTTATCTTTGGTTCACCTCTGCCCCTCATGACACCATATACAGTACTTGCAGAGAAGGCCCTCTGTAAATATTTATTAGTTAACAAATAAATGACATTTTATTCTTCCAAAGTCTGTTTGTCATAGAAGATTATATAATCTTTTGTGGAACATAACATTTCCTGGACCCTCAGACAAATGTGTACTATTATTTTGGTCTTCCTGGGTCACAACGATGCAGAGGGGCCAAAATTTGCCCTTATTTGAGTGAAATCACTAAATCAGTGCCATCTTGGACATCTTGGGACAACCAAAGTGTCCAATCACTAAGCCCTTTTTCTGAAGAAGACAGCATTTGCAGATAACAAGAAAAGGCTTTTCTAGAAAACAATGTAGGGTAAAAGTTACCAGATAAGAATTGCCTGACCTTTGTCACTGAATGTTTTAAATGTGAGGGTTCCCATCTTAGGCCTTTGCTCCCACTCGTGTGACCCTGAAGTTGGGCCTTTATTTTTTTTTTAAAGATTTGTTTGTTTATGCATACAAGAACTGGGGTACAGGCCAGAGGTACAAGGGGGTAAGAGGATTCACCAGAGACAGAGTGGGGAACAGGACAGACAGACTGACTGAAATACACTGCTGAGGGGAGCAGCAGGAGAGACAGGAGAGGTCTGCTGCGCCAAGTGGGTAGCTCCTTGGCTGGCCGGGGATTGAACTCGTGCTGCAGAGTCTATGGATAGCTTCACAGTGCTGTACTTAACTCCTTGCGCCACCAGGGAATTTGTAGTTTAATAGAATGTGAATCTTTTGTGTACTTAAAATAAGTACAGATAGCCCCCAATTTACTATGGTTTGATGTATAATTTTTTGAGTCTATGATGTTGTGAAAGTAATATACATTTAGTAGAAATAGTACTTTAAATTTTGAATTTTAATTTTTTTTTTCCAGGCTAGCAATGCAATCACAAGGAGAAACCAATTGTTTCTTACTGTTGTAGGTAAAGGTCTGCACACAACTGGCCCCTTCATTCTTACAAAGCAAGTAGATGTTTATTTCATAATGTTCATGGTTTTAGCTGGCATCACTTAAAAGTAAACAAATAATCCTAAACAAATTCTTTGAATTTTGAAAACATCAAATGTCAGTTGATTATGACCACATGTAATTATTTTCAAGAAAGTGTAAGACTGAATATCTTTTGCAATGTTCTCAGTAAATATCTAAATGCCTGAACATGTTGTAACATAGGCAAATATCCACTAACAGACTTAGTAGATATATATATTTATCAGTGATCTTTTAAAAATAATCTACCTGCACCCATCAAAGTATTTTGTAAGTCAATCAAACAATCACCATTTCATACTAATTCATATCACATTGGGCAGCCAACTTGTAGGAACAATGATGTGTACTATGGATAATGAGATTTTGTATATTTATACCTTAAAAATGTCCCCAAATCCCAGCATGGCAACTAAGAGAGATGAAAATCTGCCTACTTTTTTTTAACCAATTTTGGTGACTCCCTCTGTCCTTGTATTCTGATTGGTTCTTTTTTCCTATCTTAATTGCCCTGATTGGCTCATTTTTTTACCTATTTTAATTATTTTTTAATAGAAAATATAGCAGAGTCTGACCTTTCAAATTAAAATCACTTATTGAAATCACTCCTGCTTCTAATAGGCTTTTTGATAGGCCAAAAATAGACTTATGAAAATAGGAGATGGAAGTAGGAGACTGGAAATAGCTATTTAGCAGATTAAAAGGTTGTTATTTAGCAGATTAAAATGGAATGGTGGGCCTCCCCTGGTGGCGCAGGCAGTTGAGCATAGCACTGTGAAGCTGTCCGCAGCCTCTGCAGTGCCAGTTCAATCCCTGTCGGCCGCGGAGCAACCCACATGGCGCAGCAGACCTCTGCTGTCTCACCTGCTGCTCCCCTCAGCAGTGTGTTTCATCAGTCTGCCTGTTCTGTTGCCCGCTCTGTCTCTGGTGAATCCTCTCACCCTCCTGCACATCTGGCCTGTACTCCAGTTCTTGTATAAACAAACAAACAAACAAACAAACAAACAAACAAACAAATAAATAAATAAAATGGTGATCTTAACATGTAGATTAATGCCCTGTGTTATTTTTGATAATGAAAATCACTCACATCTCCATAAAGAAATTACCTGGTTTTCAGTGTCACACACAACTGGGTTAATATTATACTAAGTAGGTGTTAGTTTTGTCATAAACTCTTCCTAATGGTTTGGCATCTTCTCATTCTTTTACCTAATTTTTTTCTTTTTAAGAAGAAAAGTCAAGTGTCTTCTCTCTAAGATAAATGATCTGACTTCTCTGTTAAGTCTCAGATTTGCCTGAGATCTGATTTATAGAGAAAAGAACACAGCTTGCTTATAGGAACATTTTTATGTGATTATCCTCAAGGGAAATTCTAAAGAGATTTCATTGATCCTGGTTTTCTTAGTAGAAAACTCAAAAATCTGTGTCCGTTTAAGTTTGTCTCCTCAGAATCTCTGTTTTAATGAACCAGATACATCAAGAAGGGGAAACATTTCCTTGTTTCATTAAAAAGGAATTTTTTTCTCATTTGGTTTTTTTCTCACCAACCACGAGATAGGAGGTTGCCGGCAGGGATAATAACCCTTCACTCCCTCCATGCACAGAGGACACGTCTCTCACAAATGGAACAACAGTGACTCCAAGACTTCCAGACTTTGTGGTCTTGTTGGACACAACGAAAGTCTGTAAGGGAGCAAGGAAGTTCCCTTTGTAAATTATTGCTATCAGTAGGGTTTGGCTTAAGACATCTGCTTGAGGGGATTCTGTTTAACTAGGAGCTCACACTCTAGCTGTTGGGACATAGAGAAAGGGGTCTGTGTATGGTGACTTAGGAAGAATACACTCAAAATGGCAAAATTCAGCTCTATTTAAGTGATTATTATATTTAATTGAGAATAATTTTTCTGAAGCTTTATTTTTCATCTGTTTTAGAATGTACATGTAAGAAGAGGATTACTCTTCTGTTATTTACCTATTATAATTTGGACTAATTACCATAAAGTTTAAAAACTAAATTCTTCCTGTAAGAGAAAAAATACCCTTAAAAAAAAACTTTATTGCCTTGCAGAATATAATTGTATGGAATTAAAAGGAGTGATCCTGGGAAACCAATCAAATATTGGCATGTTTTCATGTAAGGTAAGTATTCTAAATGAATAGTTGTCAAACTTTTTTTTTTTCCCTGTAAAGCACCAGATGGTAAATATTTTAAATTTTATGGGTCATCCAGTCTCTGTTGCAACTACTCAACTCTGCCCTTGAAACATGAAAGCACCATAGAGAGTATGTAAATAAATCAGTGTGACTGTGTTCTAGTAACACTTTCTATATAGCAACAGGTGGTGGGTGCCTGTTTTTGGCCCATAGGCTCAGGATTACCAATCTCTAAGCCATGTATTGAGAAAGATCCTCATTTGTTGCTGAAGGCCAAAGTTCTTTAATCAAAACAAATTACTAACCATCATCATATATAGCATAAATCTTTTTTTTTTAAAGATGTTTTTTATTTATGCATACAAGAGCTGGGGTATAGGCCAGAGATGCGAGGGCAGAATGAGAGGATTTACCAGAGACAGAGTGGGGAACAGAACAGGCAGACTGACCGAAATACACTGCTGAGGGGAGCAGTGGGTGAGCCAGGAGAAGTCTGCTGCGGGTCACCTTCCTGGCCGGGGATTGAACTCATGCTGCATAAGCTGCGGATTGCTTCATAGTGCTGTGCTTAACCCCTTGTACCACCAGGGAGGCCCCTATTTTTTTCCTAAAGATTTTATTTTTATACAAGAACTGGGGTACAGTCCAGAGGTGTGGGAGGGTGAGAGGATTCACCAGAGACAGAGTGGGGAGCAGAACAGGCAGACTGACTGAAATACACTGCTGAGGGGAGCAGCGGGTGAGACAGGAGAGGTGTGTTGTGCCATCTGGGAATCTCCCTGGCTGGCCAGGAATCGCACTGGTGTGCAAAGGCTGCGGACATCTTCCCAGCACTACGCTCAACCCGCTGCGCCACCGGGGAGCCCACATATAGCATAAATCTTAATCTATAGTAAAATCCACTCAAATGGTGAATATGTGTCAACAGAGAAATGGCTGTTACTCTCTATAACCTATGAATTGCTCAGATTGCAATTTGTACACATCTATTATGAACTTTGTTCTTAAAAGTTAAGGTATCAGTCATTTCTTATTAAACTTCTCATCTCTTTCTCATTGACTTATAATGTTGACAATTGTGGTTATGGTATGTAATATGTAAGGATGTTATCCCCTGTTAATAATGAGCCTTGCAAATAATTCTATCAGTTTATTAGTTTTTGATGTATTTGTGCTTTCTTTGTTTAATTAAGAGTTTTTAAAGTAGTTCTATTTTTCATTTTTTGATATATTTTAAATGGGTTTCCTTTGTGGATTTAATGCCATAAATAGAGACAGGTCCTCCTCCAAGATACTGTATACAACTAGTATTTTATTTTTTTTGCATAGAGGAACTAGGTGCGTAGGCTGGAGGTGCAGGGGCTGAGAGGGTTCACCAGAGACAAAGAAGAACCAGTGGATCTACTGAAATACTCTGCTGAGGAGAGCAGTGGGTGAGACCTAGGAGAGGTCTGCTGTGCCATGTGGGTTATCTCCCTGGCTGGGGATGGAACTCAGGCCTTAGCGATGATAGTGTGCTGAGACTTAACCCCTAGGCCATCAGGAAGGCCCTGTAAACAACCAGAATTTTATTATAGCATTTTCAAGGTTTTGTTGTTACACTTTTACTTTTTTTTTCCCCAACTGAAAGTTTATAGTCTATCAATAAAGAAGGCAAGATTGAAATCGAAGAAGTAGAGTGTCTGCTGGTTGCAAGTTTCTGAGGATAGGAAAGAGGAGGGGGTCCGAGGCTCTGGCAGGAAGGCTAAGGAAGCCATCTTCCTCTAGAACAGCAAAGAGTAGAGATTGGAAACCATCCACAACTGAGGAGGTAAAAAGTTGAGAGAGTTCAAGTTGCAAATAACTTCTCTGTAAATGAAAATGCAAGGCACCTGCTGAAAAACGCAAGGCCAGGTGTGGGTTTGGGAATCTGAGTAGAAATGAAACTGCTTCTAACAGTGGCTGTGCAGTACTCAGCAGGAAGCTGTCAAGCTGCTAAATTTGGTTTACAAGAATTTGTGAAGATGCCAACCTGGCTTTTTTTTTTTTTTTTTTTTTTTTTTGAAGTAGATTGACAGTTCCTCTTAGATCTGTCTGATAAGATTCTGTTAAAATTTCTGAAAGCTCTTTCTCAACTCATACAAATAAATCATTGTAAGTTAACTATACATGTCTGATGTGCCCATACCCCTAGTAAAAATACACACACAACCCTGTCACTTATGTGATTAAAAATCGCATTGTTAATGGAAGTTAAATGCATTCAATATAACTCTTTACCTGTTACCTATGTAGTCTCTTGTGTTTCTTTTTTTTTATTGCATGTTATATTATAATAAAACCTCGACACTACCTGAACTCAGGAATGAGTCACTGTAATAGAATATTTGTCTAGAAAATGTTTTTCTTGTGTAGAGTATTCTGTCACAAAGAAATTTAGATTCTTTTCATTAGTAGCCTATAGTAGTATATGTTAGTAGTATATGTTTGCTGTAATAGATTTGGAATGTATTAAAAAGCAGATAGGCTAAAGTAAAAATAACAAATTGCCCCAAATCAATAACTTAATATTTTAGCTTAAAGTCTTCTTTTCTTTTTATCATAGAATTATTTAAAATACAGAAAACCAGTTTTAGTTTTTGTATCACGCTTAACTTATAGCTCAATTTGGGCCTAGGAATTCTATCATTTACTACTTAGGTAATGGAAAGTCAAATAAGACATATCTTAGGTACTTCATCAAAGAAGTTTCTTCTCTTAATACTTTTTTTTTTTATGTTTAACTTCTTTTATGTAATATCAAAATCCTTATGATCTTTCTAACTGGTCAGGGGAAAAAACTGCCTTATATTCTTAATACTACTCTAAGTTTACGGGAGAATTAGATTTGTTTTTTTCCATATGTAAGTCATTTATTTTATTTTTAAAAAATTGATTGAGGGCCTCCCTGGTGGCGCAGCGGTTGAGCGCTGGGTTGCGAAGCTGCCCGCAGCCTCTGCAGCACTGGTTCGATCCCCGGCCGTCGGGCGAGGGTCCCACATGGTGCGCAGACCTCTCCTGCCGCCCGCTGCTCCCCTCAGCAGTGTACTTCGTCAGTCTGCCTGTTCTGTTCCCCGCTCTGGTTCTGGTGAATTCTCTCACCCTCCCGCTTCTGACTGTACCCAGTGCTTGTACAAATAAATAAATAAATTTAAAAAAAAAAATTGATTGAAATCTCATTGCATTATAAATCCTGCCTTTTGCAACAACATGGTTGGACTTAAAGGGTATTATGCTTAGTGAAGTAAGTCACAAAGGGAAAGACACTATATGATTTTACTGATCTATGGTATATGAAAGAGCTAAACAAATGGATGAACTAAATAAAACAAAAATAAGCTTTCTGACAGGAGACCAATTAGTGGTAACCAGAAGAGCAGGAGGAGGTGGGTGAGTGAATCAGGTAAAAGAGATGAATTCTGTGGTGAAGAATACAATTTAGACTTTTACTAGTGTTTGAAGGGACTCTAAGGATTTTGTATGCTAAAGTTGTGCAGGAAGTAGCTTCCTTGACAGAGTTGCTGATGATAGAATGGCTTGGGGTTTTTGCCTGTTTGTCCTGAAGGTGGGATGCTGCCAGGGTCAGGTTCATCACCTCAGGAAGAGCAGAGCCTAGTAGCTGGTCTGCATAACTAATAGTGAATCAAGCCCTTCAGTTGCATTCTTCCAAATGGTTTTGTCCCTCTGCAAAAATGATCTTCCTCTTTTTGCAAATAGTGCCCCTTGATGTGTCAGCATCATTCAAAGCCACAACAGTGACTTCTGCATCATTAACACTTTTGTGCCTCCTTTGTTACTTTGCACCCAGACTTCTATCTCTTTTACCCTGAGATTTTTCTGAAGCTCAAACAAATCTGTCCTCCTTCAGAATGTGTCCTTGGGAAGCGACTTAGTCTCACGGCTGCAAATTCTTTTTCAGAAAAGAAAAGATACTTTTGCTGACTGGGTTTCGAGCTGAAATTTTCTCTAAACTGTTCTCAGTGTTTGATTGGAATAGAATACCAAGCATAAGCAATTGGTAAAATTGTATATTCATTGTAAGAATGGAATAGAAATTCCTGAATATTACATGCCTGATAAATCTCCTTTTCCATTAAACTTCATAGGTTGTAAAATTTCCTATCTTGAATAGCACATTTTCTATAGGCTGACCCAAGAATTAATATTCAGTGGCTGAGAGATAGAAATAACATTCACAGATACCACTGTGTCTCCTCTGGGTGAGCTGAATAATTGCATAGGAACAAAATAGTTTCGTTATCCTCAGGTGAGTCTGTGGTTTTGAAAAATTCTTTCATTAAATATAAATAAAAATGGGGGAGGAGGTTGGGTGTGACAAAAGAAACTATCTTTACTTTTCAGGTATTTTTGTACCTCATGAGCAACAGTTAACACTCTAGGATGTTCTTGCACCCTTGCCATATAATGTCCCTAATATTAAAGTATAAGATTGCTCTTATTATGTTTAACTCAGATAAATATCCATTAGTGTGTAAAGCTCCCAGTTCAGTGAGGCCAACTTTATATGACTTTTATGTATGAAAAATTATAGCTGGAGTCTTAGCTATTTCATTCTAAGAAGCAATCATTCCAGAAAAGGAAGGTCAAGGACCATACATCAATTTAATAAATGTTCTCTTCTGTAAGGGACCAAGGGACCACAGGGAAGGTAAGAGAAGGAATGGTAGGGGCTACCAGTATGATTCAAGGATAATGAAGATCATCTCAAAGAAAGGGAGATGTCTGTCAATGCAGTGTGTTCCTATTAGATTACCCTTTGGGACTGCCCCCCAGTGATAACTCCCTAGGGGAAAGAGATTGCAATAGGTAGCAAAGTCATTCAACCATTGAGATCACAAAGCACTAGCAGGATTTGGATTCATAATTTCTGCAACATTCAATGCCAGGACCTATAGCTGTGGTGGCTGCAGTATCTGTTGATGGTCTTCTGCACACATCCACAGCAGAATGATCCTCTTAGTGGCTACTGACAGCAGAACTGTCACTTTGGGCCATTGGTAGCCACAGCAAACACTGATGGAGGCAGGGAGGCTAGCTTGTCAGAGAAAGGCCAGGCATTCCTTTTTTTTTTAATATAAATATAACATTAGTTTTTTTAAATTAATTTATTTTTTAAATTTATATCTTTTGCATCATTGTATATTCCCTATAAAATTCCCACCACCAATTCACCCATTGTCACCATAGTTCCTTCTGCTCTTTTCTCCCCTGTTTTGATCCCTTTTCCTTCCCCTCCATCTTCAAAGATGTTACTGAGATGTATGTCGTATAGTGTCTTGCTTATATTTTCTTCTATATATTTTATGGTTCCAGGTCTTACACTCTGGCCTTTTATCCATTTTGACTTGGCTTTGTGCATGGTATGAGGTAGTAGTCTAGCTTCCTTCTTTTGTATGTAGCAGTCCAGTTTTCCCGGCACCATTTATTGACAAACTGTCCTTGTTCCATTGCATATTCTTTACTCCTTTGTCAAAGATTAGTTGTCCATAACTATGTGGGCTTATTTCTGGGTTTTCTATTCAATTCCACTGGTCTGTGTGCAGGGCAGACACTCCTAATTGGTCTGAGAGCTATTTGATAGAAATTAAGGCGATCTGAACTAGCAGCACTGTTAAAGTGAAGGAAAAGTAATAATAACATACATGCTTGTGGTTATCTTACCCCTCAGCTGGTATAATGTAGTGATCAAGGTTACATGGGAAATTATTTGGAAATAAGTTTTTGTAACATGTCACAGAACTTTCCCAATATCGCCTCCTTCCGTCAGGATTTGCTGGCTTTATTTTAATATCTTCTTAAATTATTTCAACTGAAAGAATTAGCAATAAAAAAAAGAATTAGTGATACTTATGGCTGAACTTAACTGGATATTCAACTAAGGGGTGATGGAGCTAAACAAATCAAGTTTACTTCTAACATACCAAGAGGTCTGGAATTGGAGTTTCTCTTCATTCAATAGCTCACTCAAGAGATATGCATTTCCAGAAGCAAGTCAGTTTTTGTGGCAGGAGGAACATAGGATTGGGAGGCTGGAGTCAAAGGTACCCCTGGAAGTCTTTCTGGTTCTTCAACAAAAGCACTTACAGCTAAATGTCCTTGGCCAATACTGCATTGTATGTGCTTCTAGCAGCACAGGAGGCTGGGGAAAGTGGTATTTAAGGTTTCTATCTTTTATAGTGGAGGGAAATAATGGAGAAGTATATGGAGAATGGTATTGGGTATACTGTGTACCCCAAACACTAAGCCACTATTCAGAAAATCAAGATTTTCTTAGGCAATTGAATTTGCATTTTTTTCATGCCCATTCAAATAACTATTGGGTGAGAGGTAAGTATGACTTCTAAAGTTTCCTATATCTTCAGGTGACCCAGGCAGCCCTGTGGAGGGCAATGTGACTAGGAACTTAGGTCCTTACTCCAACTGCTCTTCACAACTAAGTCTGCCAGTGACCATACAACTGAATTTGAAGTTAATCTTTCAGCAGTCACATGACATTGCTACTGGGAACAACTTGACTGCAACCTCTTGAGGGACCTTGAGCCACAACCCCGCAGGTAAGCTGCCCCCGATTCCCAACCCTTAGAAGCTGTAGATAATGAAAGTTTATTTTAAACTGCTAAATTTTCGAGTAATGTGTTACACAACCAAGCTAACCAATACAACTTGTTTAAACATCAATTCCTCATCTATCCATCGAGGATATGCGTGGTTGTAGAGAGGATAATAAGATAAAATCTGTGAAATTGCCCAGTGCAGTTCCTGCAACATAATAAGGGCACTGAAAATGTTAGTTCAACAAACATATGTGAGCATTTTCAATGTCTACCTTTTTCAGAAGTCTCTTTTATCTTAGATTTGCATAATTTTTAAATATATCGTTGTCCTTTGCTTTTTACTAGTACTCATGGATAGTTTTTACCAAACACAGCTGGCTCTGTGGCAATCTCTTGCACTGGGGATGGTTTTATTTGTTAAGGTCACTTGTGTTTAATAATTAAAAAAGACTTTCCCAGAATGCTGAATTGTAGTGTCTGATGTGTCTTTAGTCACCTCCCAACTAAATAAAATATTGCCTTATTGCTGTAAATAGAGCCTGTCTTCACTAGAAGGCTTCTGTGATTTTAATACTCTCCACTCAAGGGATACACCCATTACTGAATCACTAATATAGGGGAGACAGTGAAGATGACTACAGAATTAGACGATCTGATTTTGCTTTGTCTTTAGCCCTTTGCCCTGTTCTACTGCTCCTCTGTTTCTCATACTGCTGCACAGCTTTGCTAGATAGCCTTAAATTATCCTGTAAATTTCCCTTTTCCTTAAAAAAAAATATGTATTCTTATGTCGTCTTGTGATGTTTCTATAAATCAATTTGTGCCCCCCAAAGCATGTGTCTATAAATGTCTGCATCACCCACAATGTGTGTGTGTACCTGTGAGTGTGTGTGTATATATTCTATACAACTAGGACATCTTTTTTGCTTGATAACATAATGTGGAATAATTTTTAGTTCATTGAACTGTCTTCACTATCATCTATTGTTGGAAGCTCAAGGCCTGCTTTGTCTTAAAGTTGGGTTTTGTTGTTGTTGTCTCAAAGTTGGATTTTTTTTTTTTTAGTGTGTTCTATACTTGGCAGTAGTTCCAAAAGTCTAAGAGTTCTGGAGTTGTGGATTTAGAGATCATAGATTTTTCTACAGTATTATTTAAGGGTTGTAGGTTCTTACTTTGTACAAGACTTAGCCCAGTCTCCTAACTGGTCTCTACTTCCAATCTTGTTCTCCCCCAAGAACCAATCAATCCTGTGAAATGCTAGCAGGTAGAGAATATTAAAAACACAATTAATCAATTAATGAATTACACAATTAATGAATCAATCACATTATGGATGCATGTTAAAAACATAATGTTGAGTGGGAGAAAAAAAAAAACAGACACAGCAAAATACTTCCTATATGATTCTATTCATACAGTGAAACTATTCTATGCAGGCACATGTAATTAGAAATGAACTATAAAGGATATAAAAAATAATGGTTAGCATTAGGGGAGACAGCAACACATTAGAATATATTATAGAATGAAAGCTGGGGACGGAAATGGCAATATCATTTGTGGGACCAAATGCTAAATGCAAATCAGGGTCCCTTTTTAAAAATTCATTAAGAATTTCATGGCCTCCCTAGTGGTGCAAGAGCTTAAGTCTCAGCACTATGAAGTTATCAGCAGCCACTGCAGCATGAGTTTGATCCCCTGCCAGGGAGCAGCCCACATGGCTCAGCAGACCTCTCCTGTATTGCCTGTTGCTCCCCTCAGCAATGTATTTCAGTCATTCTGCCTGTTCTGTTCCCCACTCTGTCTCTGGTGAATCCTCTTAACCACTCCCCCCACCCACCCCCCCCCCCCCACACCTCTGGCCTATAACCCAGCTCTTATATGTATAATAAATAAAAAAAATCTTTTAAAAAAAAAAAAGAATTTTAAGGGCCATGGCAAAGCATTAAGCCAAGGGGTGGGGGCACCCTTCTTAGGACGGGCCTCTTGCAAAGGCCAAGTTAGAACCCTGTGAAGCTGGGGATTGTGCTACTGGGGATTGCCTCAAGTGCTACTGGGGATTGCCACCACTTTTTTTTCAGCTGGTAGGAGAATTAATATAGGTATTTGTTTCAGAAATATCTAAATGCCAAACATTTATGTAAATTTTTTTTCCTGTCTTCTGCAAGTTTATTCTATTTTACAGCCACTAAAAAAATCAAATTGAAACTGATCAGAGCACTTCCTGTTCAAAAACCTGTAAGATGGTTTCCCATGGATGGAATGCCTGTGGCCGGATGCCTTCTCCTGTATGTTCATTTGCTGCAGGCTTGGCTGAAATGCCAGCTCATCTATGAAACATCCTAGATTTCTTCATCAAGATTAACCATTTCCTTCCTTCTGCCCCCTTGGCACTTTCTCCCTCAATCATTACACTTAACTTCTCTGCCTCAAATCAGAGTTCTTTTAGAATAGTTTATTCTGATGAAGCTGAAATCTTGGGGAAATATTTCAGTCTTATTCATCTTTGTATTAGAATGCTATCTGGCATCAGATAAGTAACTATTGAATTTAACTAAAGCTTGCATCTAGAGATTAGCATAATCCATTATAAAACCTTAAAACTCAAAATTTCTATACAATGTAAGTCCTTAAACTTATATGACACAGGGTGACATAGGTAAAAGTTCTTTTGCAAGCTGAGATATGTGTAATCACCTGGTGAATATTTGAAATAGGCACCAAGAGTTGCATAGTATCATTTAATGTTTTTCTGTTTCATGCCAGAGATGAATCTCATAGCCATCTTTCTTAAGACTGTTTTAATATCATACATTTAATATGCTGTGAGTTGCTTTAAATATTACAGTCACCCTAGATGCCATTTCCATTGGAAACATAATTTAAAATGCCATGGCCCACTATTTTCCTAGATTTTTTTTTGTTGTTCTTGGCGTATTTTAGTTCTTACTAATACTTTGGGTTCTTTTGATAAACATGTGATTTGGACATTTTCTTACAACAGACAGATGGGTGTGTTCTCTGGGTATTATTTCTAAAATGAAGAAAATGTTCCCCTTTCCAGCATCTGGGTAAGATTTGTAGTTCTGTCACAGATTTAAAATATAGTCACAAGTAATCATCTCTTTCCCACATAAGGTGACTCTGCAAGTAATTTTTTTCTGTTTCTTTTTTCTTCATGCCAGGCTTTGAAATCATATATGAGATATGAGTTGCGAAAAAAAAAAAAAAAAAAAAAACAACTATATAAAACAGTATTTGGACATTTCTTTTCATCATTCATTTTTATGGGTGTTCTCCAATCATTCTACCCAGATGGCCAGGTTACATCAAGTCTGTAGTAACATAAACGTCTTTTGTATATAAGGAAAACACTGATGAACAAACTTCCGAATGTATATACCGATAAGTATATTTTATTCATCTTTACACATAATTTCACTGTACAAAGCCTGCCCAAGTGAATTATAACACTTGGCTGGCAAACAGATGGTTACATACTCAATGACATAGACTTACAGTAAAAACATTCAGTGAAAAATGTCTACCATCCCTACAGGAGAATTCATTTCAATCAACACAAAGATTTTAAATGATTCTTCTCTTATGCTAACAAGTAGTCATACACAAGAGAAAAAAATCAACTTATCATCTTTGTCAGAGATGATGACAGTGTGACAATGTGACATTTCATTAAAGGCATGTTTATGCCTTGTTGATGCCATCCCTTTTTACAACATTTATCACCTAATGATTAAAGATCAATGCTCACAAATGCAATAAGATATATATTTTTAAAGGATGTTTGCTTAAATATTTCATTCCTTAATAACCCTTCATGTATATCATGGGATTTCTATAGTTCTCACTGCTTCAGGGTTTTTTATTTGTTGTGTCCTCTGCCTGGGGTACCAGCTGTTTCCTCTCATCTGTACAGTATCACTTCTGCAGGGAAACCACGCCAGCTTTATCTAAGTTCACTATAGTCTCCTTCTCCCTGAATTATGTACCATGTCAATGCAGCACCTCCGAGGTGACTGGCTATAAATCTGAATAATCCTTAGGACCCCCTCCAGTGAATTTCATGTATGCATATAATAGAAACCAGGCTATCCCAAATATAGTCTCTGAATCTCATAAAAGAAAAATCTCACCAGTTGCTTTGGAACGATGAGTAACTAGGAGAAACTTTCATTTGTTTATGGTTTCTATACTGTAGAATTCTATAACCTTAAACCTATAAAACAGCACATAACACGTGAACTCAGGGGTAGAGTCACTTCTATCATCTCACTAGTAATGTTCACACTTCTGCCGAGTGTTCCATCTACGAGATCGGGGCATTGAGAATTCTGGCTTTCATTCTAGGAAGGACAATATCATATACCGTTAACTTCCCCTTGAGGAGCTGGTAGTTTGTTTACCCCCTTGCAGTCAGAGTGACTCATGTTTCCCCCTTCTCTGTGGCCTCTGGGAGTTCATTTCAGAGCTCAACTTTGATTTGGAATGTATAAATTGTTTAAAATCCACATCTAGATTCCAACTTTTCCTAGAGGGTAGACATTTCACTCCTGTCTCACTAAATTTAGAACTTCTTCCTACTCAGTAAATCTATTAGGATAGATCAGTGGCTTCAGAGGTTCTGGATCTGTGTTCCATGATCCTCCCTGGAGGTAGAAGCTTACTGAGAAGGGACCTACACAGTTCAAAAGCCCCAACAATGTTACTTTAGTTTACACCCTAAGGAAAGACTGCCTTGGAACAAAACGTTAGTAGAATTTAAAAACTGTTGTGCCCCTAATTTCTAAAGCCTCTTTTACCTCTAAAAACTTTTAGACTAAGATCAGGAATCAAAAGACTAATTCTAATTTGGATTAATCCACTACCTTGCTATGTAATTTAGTCAAGCCACTTCTCTTTGGGTCTTCAAGTTTCTCATCTATAAATTTAGGGAATTGAATGGTATGATTTTGAACATTGCTCCTGCTTTAAAATGCTTAATCTATTCTTTCTCATCTGATTCTCTCAAGTGTCTGCCCCAGAAGAAAATTACCTCAGGTAGAGAGGGAAGTGGGATATGAGGAGAGATAGACAACACTGTTTGTACTCTTGCTTTCCTTTCTGTCACTTCATATTATAATTCATCCATTTCAAGAAAAGTAAATAAAAGAAAGGTTCAGCGGAGGGTTGTATAAGCAGAGACATAACATTTAAATGTGGCATCATTGTGAAATTGTTTTATTCATGAAGATGACTTGTGAGGCTCTGATGAAGACTGACTGGGACTTAGATTACTTCATAGCATTGTGATCTTAAACTTGTTTATCATCAAACTGCCTGCTGACCTGACAGAACACGTTGGGGGCTTTCCTGCTGCCAGCTTCTACAGTGGTAATGCTTGATCATGCTTTCCCTGCTGCCGACCAGGCTATGCGTCACAGAGAATGGGCAGGGCAGTTTCACCAGAACTCTTTGCCAGTTTCCTGTAAGCATCATGCACTGTGTCCTTGGGCAACATTCTCATGTGTTGTGACATGATACGAAAGGTTATCCCCAGTGGTGCACATGCCTTCACTCACCTGCAGCTCCAGGTATCCACAAGGAAGGGTGGGTTATTTTGGCCCCAGATGGAGTGCAGGGCTTACAAAGAGAACACTATGGACTCAAAAACTTCTTGAAAGAGCCATGGAGGTGTCAATAAGTAAGTAGGAGCTCTGGAGAAGCATCACACTCTTGAAGGGAAGGTCTGGGGCACTTGCTTCTATTGGTTATTGCCCTGTCCACTCATATTCTCATACCTGCTGGCATTTGGAGTTAGATTTCAGCTCTCAAGTTCTTTCTAAAGTGTTTAGCTCCCACTTTCTCCAGTCTCTTCCTGTTTGTATTGGGATCTGTCCCTAAGAGATTTTTCTTTTAGAAAGAGTTCTGTTTGTTTTCTCTGTATAGGTCATATGACACACACCCGCCTGATTTATTTCACTAAGCATAATACCTTCTAGGTCCATCCAGGTTGTTACAAATGGCAGGATTTCATATTTTTATATAGCTGCACAGTATTCCATTGTGTATATATTCCACATCTGATCCAATCATATATTGATGTACACTTAGGTTGTTTCCAGCTCTTGGATATTGTAAATAATGTGGCTTTATTTATAACATTTATAACATAACTCTTATAACATAGCTTTTCAGATTAGTGTTTTTACATCTACATATGGTACATAAAGATATGAAACAAACAAGTGAACTAAATAAAATAAAACCAAACTTTTTGATATTTTATTATAACCCCGTAAGAGAGAGATGATAACTATAAAGTAAGGGGGGGTAGGGAGGTTGATAAATTGGCATTAACATCAAGGAGTTATATACAGCAAGAATAATTAGAAAGGCAATTTTAAATCATCTTAATTTTTCTACTCAGGCAGAATCCACATAATATGGTCAGAGTTATCTTGCAGATTTATATATTCTATAATAGAATGGGGCTCAGATGAGATTAACCATCATTTTCCTAGATGAGTTCAAGATGAGTCAAATAAAATATGACCATTTCAACCAGGGGAGCAGAGTTCAAAGTAGAGGTTCTCTTTGGGGACAGGATTGCCTGGGAGAGGCACAGAGAAACCTTATGAGTGCTAGATGTGTTCTTTATATTGATCTGGTGTTGGTTGCATGTGGACACGTATATGTCATCAACACCAAGCTCTTTTAAGATCAGGTACTCTACTGTAAAGAAGCTATGTCGCAATACAAAATAAGAATATAATCAATGAAAATGAGCTGAGAAACTGACTCCTGTAGGATACTGATAGTCCTTTGAAAGAGGAATGATTGGAGTGGTAATGACACCAGTAACAGAGAAGCACATATCCTAGAATCCAGGAAAATTAGCCTGAGACCATAACTTGTAGCATTTTCTGAGAAATTTTTAAGATGGCACAATGGTCTCTGAAGGGCTTTGATATCTAAAATACAAAAAAGAGGATGTGCACCAAGTCTGTCTAGAGATCTGATTTTTTTTTTTTTTTCAGTTGCACAGTCAACATGTTAACCTCTCATTCTAAATTAATAAATTGGTTTTCTGGTAGATGTGCCTCTTTTGAGTCTGAATGATTTTGTGAGCAGCTTCCAATTCATGAAGCAATCTTCAAATATCTAGAGTAATTCAGCTAATTGTAATACTTAGGCCCATAATGGCTGCACCACCTGCTGGTTGTAGTGTCCTACTAGCCTTCCTGATATAAATGTGAGGGTAGAAATTCTCTGACTGAGGATTTGGAAAGAATTGGGGAGGAGAGGTGCTTTATATGGAATGTCATGTTTTTCCATCTTATAAGGGAGAAAAAGAAAACGAATTAAACTAATGTTAAAACTCTAAAATCACATTTTTTTCCCTTTGCAAAGTAATATTGCTACACTAAATTACATTTTTAAATACTTGGTGTATAACATTTGTATTGTGTATTCAAAGGAATATAAAGAAAAGGGATATATCTGAAAATATGTGATAATAGACTTCATTTCAAAATGTTTAAAATGCAGTGGTTAACAGATGTCAGTTTTAAGGGATTTTTTTTAAATAATGTGTTTTAAACAACTTTTTTTATTTTTTATTTTGCAATTTTCTCTGACCAGTTTTCTTTATTTCATTTGTGGTACTAATGGATAAATTTATTTTAAGGATATAGCTAATGTCTCAACAATAAAATATTTTCTAGGACAAAACAAAATAAGCTGTCACTAGTAGATCTCCCAAAATAATTTTAAGTACAGATTTAAATTTATTCCAAACTAAATTTATTCAGAACTAAACAGAAAAAAAAAAAAACCTTAAACTACCCACTATCCATTTGTTTAAACATCACTATGTGAAAATCTATTGAATGTGGTAAAATCAATCCAAGATTGCATTCTCTTCTGCTGACATGTTTTTGTTTATTGTCCTGCTGGCTTTTTATTAAGAATGACATTTTAGACCTCAGCTGTCAGTGCCTCATAAAATTGCTCCATTTTCACTCATTTTGTTGGCGAATTCAAACCTGTAACTTTTTTTAGAAAATGTCAAGAGAAAATTTTCTAGTCATTTACATAGTATATGTATAGGCACTCCTTACAAATTTGCTGACTGGCTGAAAGAAGATTTCTTTTCTGAATGATATTCTGACTTGCGAAGGAAATGGAGGACACTCCCCATCCATGGTCTAGGCAGTCATTATGTGTAAGGAAATTTGAAAGAATAATTTTCTCAAATTTCATAGCTGCTAGAGAAGCACATATGTCAAAATTGTGAAAAGCAGATACTTACCATTTAAACAATCTTCTTTGCTATTCCATTTTGGGAAAAAATAATTCTGAAAAATATATGAGAAGTTAATAAAACTTGAGCAAAAAGAAAATATATTTTACAACTTGCATCTCAAATGTACAATAACACCAGAGCTCACCATAAAATACTTTTTTCTAGCACATTCCAATAACTTGGCTAAGTTGAGGTAATACAGACATCTTTGACATCATGAGTAGCAGGAAATTATATCTGAGACAGACCCAACAGCGAGGAGAGCTCTCAGGGCTACACTCCATCACAGGAAAGCAAGAGTTCCAGTAAAACTTGACTAAAATGGTATAATCATTTTTAAATACTTTATAGCTTTATATTTCCTAAAAGATATCATCTACATCACAAGGCAAATAGAGGGTAGTCCTGAATGGAGGCACTCTCTCTGGACTCTGATTTGGACAGAGGGAACTCTCTCTGCTCCTATCTCATCAGTCTAGTGAACTGACTTAATTTTGTAAGCACTTAGTAACCTGCAATTTTGTGGTCCCCACGATCATGCAGAGGAAACTAAAAAAAAGGTCAAAACAGCAATAGCCATCAACTCAAGAAGAAGCTTATAGATGAGGCAAGGAGTCTTGGTGGGTAGTTGGAAACTTGCTTATTAAAACTTAATAATTGAGATTTAATATGGGCCTCCAGAATATTTGATGCATAGTCATTTTGAAGTGCTTAGTTGTTCCTTATCAAAGTGACAAAGTATACTGCAGCACTCTTTACCAAGAACTCCCACTGGAATTATGCATAAGAAGGTTGTGAAATCAGACTAACACTCAAAGCAAGAGGAAATCTTGCCATTTGCAATGCTTTTTCAACAACATTTTTACATGTGTCCGAACATTTCAAACTTTTCTTCAGAAAAAAACAAGTAGAGATCTTAAAAATGAATGACTGTTTCAACTGGACCTACAGGCATGTTGATTTTAAGGTGAAATAAATGTGCTAGAGTTGTTTCTATCCAAACCTCCCAGTGGGGTACTAAAACCCAGACAACAACTTAGTATGAATACTTAAGTGTTTAACTCTCTCTGAAGTTTTAAATAAAAAAAAATTTTCTATCTGAAATTAAAATTTTGTCAAGATACTTCAATAGGGCCTCCCCGGTGGCACAGCGGTTGAGCTGCCCACAGCCTCTGCAGTGCCTGTTCAATCCCTGGCTACTGGCAAGGGTGCCACATGGCACGCAGACCTCTGCTGCTGCACCCACTGCTCCCCTCAGCAATGTACTTCGTCAGTCTGCCTGTTCTGCTCCCCACTCTGGCTCTGGTGAATTCTCTCACCCTCCCATGTTTCTGACTGTACCCAGTGCTTATATAAATAAATAAATAAATCTTAAAAAAAAAAAAGATACTTCAATAACTTGTTTTAAATTTTTCCCACTCCTCAACAGTTCATTTCTTGAAACAAAAGCCTTAATACTCTGTTGTTGCTATATCTTATTATCTTCTATGTATGTGTAGATGTGTGTAGCTATAACATATGGATGATTTAAAAATCTTGCATACCAGAATTCCAAAGAGATTAAACGGAAAACTCAGAAAGTTGACTTGATAAAGTTTTTTCAGATTCGCACTTGGAATTGAGCATGCTGTCTCTTACCAGCAGGATATTTCTGCTAGAATCTTATTTATCATATTTCTAAGATTAGAAAGAAAGCTGTCTTATCATCCCCAGGAGTTCAATAATCGAAGACCAATCCAAATAAATACTGTGAAAATGGGTATAGAACTCTTGTCCTGGAACCAAAAAAATGCCTCCGTTGAACACAGTGTGTGGCTTTGGCAAATCTTTGCTGCTCTGAACCATGGCGTGGCCAGATAGTCTTGCCAATAAAAAAGTCAATATTTAACCAAGATTTTGGCTCAGTGCCCCAAAATATTAGCCACGCATCTCCCTTCAGGAAAAGAGTATGGTAGAAGAGAGGCTATTGAAAACGTTCTCTTCTGTTCTTTCCCTACCTTCACACTTCACTCTATTGCTTAATCATTCATTTAAGTTTCAACTCCTTAATTATCAATTTAGTCTCATCAGCAACATGCCCTTTATTTCCCCTGGACATGTTATCTCGTCATTGATTTTCAAACAGTGTAGTTGATTAAAATAGCAAAGCTAATCACTATAATGTTAAAAACCCTGACTGGAACTAGGAACAATCAACAGCTAAGGAAGAAAACTGATGAGCTGAGCAATTACTCACATCCTGTTGTTCCTACAGCTCGTGGAAATGACAGCACCATATCAACACCTATTATGACATCACAGTGTGTCATGAAGGAGTCAAGGTTCATGGTAAATTCACCTTTTCAGATAGGTGTGAACAGAGAGTTGTAACATGCAGTCTATCTTGCATTGTTTGTTATCAGAACTGCCCATGCTACTTATATTTATGGTCTTTAACTGTTTTTCAAGTTTCATGGACTGAAATGAAGTGGATGAAACTCTAAGATAGACCATGTTGCATAGAGGAAATAACCCAAGAATCCCAGAGGTGATAAGCATTAAAACAAGGTGCTTCTAATTTTGACTTTACAATTCACTAACTCAGGCAAGTCACAACCACTCAATATTATGTTTTCCTCATCAGTAAAATGAGGATAATATTGTCTTCCCTGCCCAATTGCCACACAGAGTGATGATGAGGATTAACAGAGATAATAGATACGGAAAGATTTTGAAGTTAAAAGCGCTGTGCAAATGTAAGTGATTATTATGACCAAAAAAAAAAAAAAAAAAGGCTGCTAGAGACAACAGGAAAAACTGTAGGGTGGTAAAGCTGCAGGGAACCTGAGACATTGAGTCCAACCCCCTAATTTTGCACATGGGAAAACTTTGACCCCCAAGAGAGGTGAGATGCACAGATAAGTCCCTTAATTTTATATAATAATAATAATTAGAGGACTTATCTGACACAGACAGTGTGCTAAGTGCTTTATGTACATTATCTCATTGAATCTTCTCATGTCCCTACTAGGTAGGTGTGAGATGCAGGTAACTTACCTTTTCAAGGTCATATAACTTGTAACTGTGATTCCAAATAAAGTGTTTCTGATACCAAAATTCATTCTCTTAACCACCTTACTATACTGTCAAGCAGTTGTGAACCTTTATTCTCAGGGTGGCTAATATGCCTAAAAAGAAACTGCTTCCTGACAGAAGCTTTTCAACCAATAGAAAGCTAGGAGAACAGCAATCTATATAGAGTGTACTATACATTTGGAATAAGAGATATGTCTTGTTTCTTAAGAGTTAAGATGTCCGTAAGAGTTGGATATCCTTCCCTTTGGTGTTCTAAAACTACTCCTAATTCTCTGTGGTACATATGCAAATGCAACATAATTATTTTAACATAGGACATAAACACTTGAAAATGAAAGCATTGATAACCTAAAAATTTCCTATGTGTTATCATTTGCATAGTGTCCCCACACAAATAGTTTTAACCTCTGTAACCAATAGGATATTGAAGAAAAAATGAAGTATAACTTCTTTTCAAATTCAATAGAAATGGAAATTTCCAGTTCCCATATTAGCCTGGATGATTTTCAGAATTACTATGGACACTCCTTTTGTGTAACCATTGTTCCCCCTTTACAGTGGGGAGTGTCCAGAGCACTTGTCCTATGCCTGCCGACTCTATGACAGGTGTGTCAGGGGGAACCAAGAGCTTGTCTCGAGGTGTTCAGATCATAGAGGAGCTACAGTCAGTGAACTGTATCTGAGAAACTATACATGTGATTCAATAGTCAATACTTATTTAATACAAATAAGGAAATATTTTACCAAAATCTATGTTTGATTAAAAATTCATTACACACACACACTGCCATTTTTGCTTCATCAACCTTAAAATTATAATTGAAAAATAATCTCTGAATAAGTAAACAGTGATATGAGAATGTTATATCAGCTCCTAGACCTGGCTTTAAGATGAGATTTTGAACTTTTAGTTAGTGCTATTCTGGGATGAGAGCTGGGGGCTGTGGGAGGGATTTGAATTATTGGGGACCAACAAAGACTGTGGTAACTAGCTTCCATGTTGATTCCCCCAGTGATTCTCACTTCCTGTTTTTCTTGTCCTTGTTCTGTCTTCTCTACATGTAAGAACACTGACCTCTACGTTCACCAGCTTATTGTGTAGATGGTAGGCTGTAACTTCTGAGACTAGATCTAGAAAGTCACTGCGGTTTCCACTTTGCTTTCTAGTGAATTACTAGCTCAGAGGGAAGTAGGTGACCACATCATGAGGACACTCAACAGCCCCATATTGAGGGCCACATGAAGAGGTACTAAGCCTTCCCACCAACAGCCAGCACTAACTTGCCAGCCATGTAAGTGAGCTCTCTCTGAAAAGATTCTCCAGGCTCAGTCAATCCTTCAGATGACTACAGCCTCAACCAACATTTTATTGCAACCTATGAGAGACTCTGAGGCAGAACAAACCAGCTAAATTATTCCTGAATTCTTGACCTTGTATGAGATAATAATTTTTTGTTGTTGTTTTTAGCTACTAAATATGAGGGTGGGGTTAACTTGTTACACAGAAATAAATATAATAGTGAAACATTCTTATATAACTGTTTACTTATTCAGAGATTATTTTTCAACTATAATTTTAAGGTCAATGAAGCTAAAAATGGCAGAGTGTGTGTGTGTGTGTGTGTGTGTGTGTGTGTTTAGTGAATTTCTATTCAAACATAGATTTTAGTCAAATATTTCCTTATTTGTTTTAAATAAGCATTGACTATTGAATCAGAATATATCTCTTAAGTTTAATTGTGTCTGATTCTCATAAAATTCTAAAGTTTTTTGGCTAAATTTTGACAGTTGTGCACTTTTTTGAAGTATATAACATATACATTTCATATATAGATAGATAAGGAGCACTGATCTTAAGCATAAAGCTAGATGAATTATACATATAATTCCATCCATGCAGCTAATCTCCCAGAACAAGGTAATAGGAAGTTCACACACACAGTTCTTCCCCATTCTACAACTAGCCATCTCCACCATGATATTTAACAATAAAATAAATCTCAAAACCTCATAAGTAATCATTTTTTCTTGTTTTGTGGTTGATATGACTTGGAAATTACTACATCATAAAACTTGTGAGGAAAGATTTACTATAAAATCTTGTAGGATCCTGGTTTCTTGTCATTCTGAGGATATAAGGAAAACAATGGAGATTATTAAAAGTCCATTCTTGTCCATAGGGAGAAGTGCACATCTTGTATGCTTTCAGAGAAGGTTTACCCTTGTAAACCATGTTATTCAAAGTCATGATGAATAAACATAAAAATAGAACTGTACTTCAAAATACCAACTGGCCAAACATTTCAACAGCAACAGCAAACACAAAACCCAAATATGCAAACTTGAGAGAGAGAGAGAATGAGATAGAATGAGACTTTCTATTTTTTTTTAATCTAAACATCCTTATTTGTTGTTATTTTGGAAATGACTTCACTTAACATTCATACATTAAGGTTGATTAAGTCTGTGCACTTTGTGTTCAGAATGTACTTTAGCTGATACTTGTGTGCTTAAGAGAGCACTGTCATTGCTGATGCAGGAAATCTATTTTGAATATTTCAGAAGAAAAATGCACCCGATATATCTTTAACACATTTTCAAAAGAGGTCCATTTTGTATTATTTCTAGGGAAGAGAAAAGTTATAAATAAAATACTCAGTAAAGGCTTGGTGTTTCACCTGAACCTTTGTAAATAGCCTGCAACTTAGAGACACTGAATTAAGAATTCCATGTTGAATTAGAAATTAAAAATAGATGCAGTAGTGAGAAATGTATTTAAGGCCCTGCCCACACTGCAGTAAAAATCGTGTTTGCAAAAATTAGTAAGATTTTTGTTAGCATGTTATTAACACAATTTCTCTGGCCAGGAAAGATAAAAACATAGGAGGTTTTTTTGGTTCATTATTTTAAAAACATATTAATTTTTGTACTGTTATAATTCATATGCATATATTTTCCCATTTTATTGTTTTCTAATGAATCAGGTGGAAGAAAATATGAACTGGTAACATTTAAAATGCATGATGTTTTCATAGAGTATATATAACCTGAGACCAATGTGCTTGAACTCAGTTTTCAGTTTTATATGCAGAGTCCTGAGGTGCAGTTCCAGTGAAATCATTCATAGGGACTTGTTTAGTTATAATACCATTGTCCAGGAAGCAAGTCCCTTCCATGTACACACACACACACACACACACACACACAAGCAGGTGCAAACTTTGGATATATTCTCAAACAATAAAGGGAACTACTACTAAAGGAGCCCATAATCAAGAATTACTTGTTTTCTGCTACCCTATTTTATAAGGGTGATCACTCTTCCCAAATCAAAGTATCACAGAGTTTTGCTAATAGATTTCAGAAAACTACCTTTTGCTAGAACATATGTACTTAATCTCGGTATATTCTGGAATGTGAAATTCCTTGACACATTGAAATAAGCTTAAATGAATGCCTTTACAATTACAATCTTGGCTCCCTAAATTTCAGAAAGGATCTTTTACTCTTTATTAGCTCAAAGACAGTGTGGACCAACTCTTGATAATCAGTTAATTCACAGTGTAAAGTCTAAATTAATAAACCCAGATATAAAGTTGCCATTTATATATTCTGTTCTCAGCTTCTCATCTCCAAAACTGTGAAGCACTCTCCACTCAAGCATAAAACATTTTTTCTCTTCTTTATCTTTCTTTCTTTTTTTTTTTTTTTAAAGGGAGTCCTGGAGCCCTCAGTGGCTTTCTCAGGTTTTTTTTTTTTTAAAGATTTATTTATCCATACAATAACTGGGGTACAGTCAGAGGCGCGGGAAGGTGAGAGAATTCACCAGAGACAGAGCGGGGAGCAGATCAGGCAAATGGACCAAAGACACTGCTGAGGGACCAGCAGACAAGACAGGAGAGGTCTGCCGCGCCATGTGGGTATCTCCCTGGTATCTCCCTGGCCGGCGGGGAATCAAACCCACACTACAGAGACTGTGGACAGTTTCACAGTGCAGTGCTCAACCTGCTGCACCACTGGGGAGGCCCCTCTCTTCTTTTTCATACCCATCTCTCCCCTCACTGAGCTGGGTCATGTGCCAGTCACGGTCTTAACTTACGCTTTCACATCTCAGTTAATTCCACTTTAGCTGTTTACAATGTGCATGATATCCTTTCTAATTCCATGTCTCTGTCAGGTTTATTCCAATTTTCTCAGG